TTGCAGAATTATAGTTTTCAATAATTAAGGAGGGGTCTTGCAGCGATTTGACCATGTGTTGTTGATAAGCATGATATATGCAGGATATCCAAATTCATTTAACGACATTATATAACGTGTTGTTTTTCATTTTTTGGTGTAAATGAAAATGCAAGCAATAATTGTTAAATGTTTGAAATCGTATATATGCTCTTTTAACTATTTGCTGAACAGTGCAAACATCTGTAAATAACATCCAGAGGAAATGGTTTGTAAATTATCAGTAGAATCCTAATCTTTATGAAATAGAACCATTTCCTTTTCAATTTTTCATGACAACCATGGATTGTTTGTGCTGTAAATATGCACAAGGTAATTAAATAAGTAGGGAAGTATACAGGTATTTCATAGGAAAAACATATTTTGCTAATACTACCCCCATAAAAAATGCATATCCCACTCACCGATAAACTTTACGTCCTGCTCAGTTAGTAGCAGTGATAACTATGGAGAAAGATAAATAAAGAAAAGGATAATTGGACGATTTCACCTTTAAAAAGTTTAATCTTGATATTGTGAAACTTCGTAATATCTATATCAATAGTCTCCATACATGTACTTTAAATCTACAAAAGTGTTATTTTTATGTTTCAACAATCAATACTGATAAGATTGACAGAAAAATAATCAAAATTAATTACAATATTTTGACAGCCAAATATATCACTCATCTCATTAAACATCTGCATTTTTCCCCATTTATTGGGGAAGTTTGTATGTCTAATATATATGTACGAGTAAATACGTTAACATGGGGCACACAAACCATTGTTTGTGTATTGCAGTTATTTTCAAAATAAAGTGAAAGAAAAGTTAACTGACACGCGTCACCAGCTGATTTTATCGATTAAATATGATGCAAAATGTACAATAACAGACTTTCTAATACGAAGTAAAACTGAATTGCGAAATAAGAATAAATCGATTTGATCGTATGTCACTCGAAATCAGTGCCCTATTAAGTCGAATAAAACACAGCCCCAACCGGACGCTTTCCCTTACGTGTACCATGTTTTTAAATATATTTTGTAGCAAAATTTATATTTTGGTTTAGTACTTAATTTACCGAGGGACATTAGCTACACGAAGCTTAACCGAAACTTTCAGTTATTAAATTTGATAAATGATCTATTAAATATATTCATTGTATATACGAATATTTAATCTTGCTTACAAAACTACAAAACAGACGATCAAGAAACCAACGGCCCAACTTTCCGTTCGAAGTGATGTTGTACACATTTACAATCTTCAGTATCGGATATGGCCTCCGTTGTTCCATTTGACAGCTTCTGCCCTTGATTGCATTAATTGACAAAGGCTTTTGACTGTTCGCGAGCTTTGTTTTGCCATTTCAATTGTAATGCGACATCAAGTTCATCAGGTGTAGCAGGCACAATCTGCCAAAGTCATTCCACATGTGTTCAATGGGATTAAAGTTTGTTGAAAATGCTGGCAATTCAAGTATGTTCACTCAGTTAACATTCAGAAAACTAGGTACACGGTACACTGTTTTAGTATTTATTGCTCTGCCATACACTGTTGTTATATTTATTGCTCTGCCATGGCGTCAATTAATTTGGTTTGTGGTTGACGTCACTGATGAGAATAGATTCTGCAAATGCCGTAGACGGTTTTTATTTTGTTGGCGTGGCGTGGTACAAAAATGTAACTTGCAGTTGGCCTTGCATTAGGGTTTTTTTTCGCAGTTCCTGTTAATATGCAGCGTTGAAATTAACGACTTATTGTGAAGTTGATAACATTAAAACGTCTATAGCAACAACACATTGACTCCAACCTGACTGTAATATTTCAATAGCGTGATTGGGATTTTCATCGTTGAGTAGCTGCGTTGGGAATCCACAAACGTTTATTTGATTTAAAAAAGGTCACGAATGCAACACATGCTCCCTTCACTTCACTTTACAAGACTTGCTCAGGTTAGTAAATTATTAAGTTTTACTCTCCAGGAGGATGTACGCCTGGTATAAATAACCAAAAAAATCCTTTTTATATTATTGTTGAAATAAAAAACCAAGAAAAGGTGTTTCATATCTAAAGTCAATCAGTATATTAATGACAAGATATCTTTTTGGTAGTTTCTGATGTTTCGTTCTAAATGTAAGTTTGATGCCTTATTGCCAATACAAAATTCAAATTTGTAAACACATTTATCAGACAAACTTATGTCTTATGAACATCTGAAGGATGTGATTTGGTAGATTTAGTATGGTAATCCATTTTCAAATTCAAGTGACCAAAACAGTAGCCTTATCATACCTTCTTCTTTGCTTTAACCAATTGTCGTGAAATTGTAACAAACCATTAGGATTGATTTCGATATCGGCGATTTCATTTTTTTTATTCTAGAGTTATGACACTTAATTCATTGACAATTTTAAATTGTAAAACGCGTTCTACTACTCTCTTTGGTTTTTTTTTAGCAATGGTGTTGTCATTTATGAGTTTGGATGTCCCTTTGGTATCTTTCGACTCTCTTTTGTTGTGATACTTTTTCCTGAAATTTTATCACAGGGCTAGAATTGATCAAAATTAGCTCCCTTTTAATATTCACGATTTTCACATTTGTCATTTTTGAGAGTCGAGCGAATTTATCCATAAAAAAATCGACATATCACCCAATCACTCCAAGGTGCTTGTACTGATTTCTTCAAAACTTTAAATTGTCACAGAAAAGAGGCGAATGCTACAAAATACACATTTAAACTCAGATGTTGAAAACAACCTGACAACGTAATGGCACAAAACTGAATTCGATCAAAGGACAAAAAACAGTGTGAAATTAACTGCCAGATGTAAATAGATGTGTTCACATATTGTTCCATGGCTTGAATATGCTTTGACCGATTTATTTAAAGCTTTACACGATAGTTGAAATTGGTAAAGATGAATATTTTTTAATTTGAATTTCGTTTATTCATTAAAAGTTGACAATTACCGTCAGATTTAAGATAATTATTTTACCTATAATGCACTACAGTACTGTAGGTCCAGTATACTTGCAAATTACTAAAACTTTACACTTTTCTTATAATTGGTGAATGCATGATTGCTTTTTATTGTGAACTTTTTCGGGTTTGTCGTTTCAGCGTTTATTGACTTTTAACAGTTTTTTTTACACCAAAGTGTTAACTAACATCTGATATTCAACTACATATTTGTTGTGCAACAACTTCAACACGCAGAGGAAGATCGTAATATTCGTAAAGTAAGGATGAAAAGTATCAACTTTAAACACAAAAAAACACTTCTTACAAATACGTTTATTTACTTATTAAAATAATATTTTCTAGTATATACAATCACAATAAAGGGGAGTCAGATATCTTGTTTTTTTCTTCACCTAATTACTCAAAACACTTGCATGGTTGCATCTACACAAGAAAGACGTTCTAAAGAATTTAAAAAAGATGACACATATGAAAAGCAAGGGAAAATTTTACATGTAATATGAATAGCTGTGAATGTTATGGGACAATGTTACATATGTTTGAGATATATATCTTCTTAAGTGAAACAAATGACAAGGAAGTAAATAGGTAAATGTTTAAGTATTGTTTTCCAACACAAAGCGTCTTTTGAAATCATAAACTTAGAAAAACTTAAAGAGCGACAACGTTGGATATACACGTGTTAAAGAACAAAACATTTAGGACGTGAAGTTGTTATTTGTAAAATCCAATTGTTGTTATTACTGGTAATTCATCTACGTTTAGATGTTCTTCATTTTAAGAAGAAATAATAACGAATATCATTGAATAATTGAGCATGATGCTGTCGTTATATATACTATTTCTAGTATTCGGAATACCTTGTATGTCAGCTACAACAATTAAAAGTCATAAAGGCTTTACACCATGTGAATTCTATCATAGATGTCAGTGTAAAAAAGACAAGGAATCATCGCTTTATAATGCAGATTGTTCAGGGCTAAACATGACGCAAATACGGAGGTTTCCGAATATAATTGTGAAACTAACACTGCGAATGAATAGTTTGAACGAGGTAAAAGACGGTATATTTTTGGAAAACAGACTTCTGAGAACGTTGGATCTTTCCTTCAATAGAATAAACACACTTTCGCCATCATCTTTCATTGGATTAGAACAGTTGAAAGAACTCGACCTTCAACAAAATAGTCTCAGTAGGAAAAGTCTAATATACAATGTGTTGCCATTTTCAAAAGCTTGGTTTATTTGAATTTGAAAGGAAACTTTTATCAAGAATTTCAACCTAATATATCCTCCTTAGTGCGTTTGAAAACGTTGAAAATGGATTTTGCATATACGGAGACAACTGTTCTAGGTAAACAGTTCAGTAATCTGAAATGGTTGATGCGTCTAGATTTTTCTGGGTTTACAGGAAATTGTTCAATAATACATTTGACACCACAGACATTTCAGTATGTACTACAAATTCGTCATTTAAATTTATCTATGTGCAAAATAAAATCAGTGCAGAAAGGTACATTTGATAAAATGAAAAACATTACCTCCCTTGATTTATCAGCAAATACATGTTTAAAATTTCAAGTCTTAGAAAATGTTACGATCGATCTTCAGTTTTCAGCAGTTAAAATTCTAAAATTGAACAAAATCCATAAGGTTTTTGATATGAACACATATTTACAGACATCTCATATCAGATATCTGAACAACACGGCCATCCAAGAATTTCATTTGGACAGCAACCGTCTGCAGCAAAAAGAATCTGGTGCTCTGAAATATTTCCCCAAAACATTGAAATATGTAGCAACAAGAGATAACATGTTTTCCATAGGACCGTACCTGTATGACCTAATGTCCATGTCAATAGAAATTTTTGACATTTCCGATATGTTTAAAGCTCACAAGGAAGATCGTCACCCCGAAACATGCAACATGAACTTTGTATGTACCTGGCACAGAGAGGCTCAATTTAATGAAAATCAGAATATTCAGGTAAAAGAATTGTTGTTTAAAAGTGCACAATATCACCAAGAGGACAATGCTGTTACCATCATACCTATACCCTATAGACTAAAAACATTGCGTTTTCGATCTAGTGACGCAAAATATACGATAACGGCACTAACTTTATCCAATAATAAACTAGAACGTATTGATGCGAGCAACAATATTTTGTCTCACTTGATTGGGCCTTTAAAAAATACAAAGAATTTGAAATACTTAAACCTATCTTCAAATGTGTGCTCCAACATTTCGACATTCTTCTTTAGCCCCGACTTCAACATATTAGAGGACCTACTGTTGGGAAATAATTTGTTAGGTCTTGTGTTACCGTCCGATACCCACGGACAAATATTCCAAAATTTGATCAATTTAAAAAAACTTGATTTATCTGAAAACAGGATTTCTATTTTGCCTAATCAGATTTTCAAATCGCAGAGAAAGCTTGAAATGTTAGATCTTAGTTCTAACTTTTTAGAAAAAATCGATTTCAAATTATCACATTTGACTCATCTGTCATACCTAAATTTAAGAAATAACCTTATTACATTAATCGATAGTCATACGATTCTGGAGATTAATTTTATAGCTGATATGAGAAAAAATCTTTCTATGAACCTGTTAGAAAACAGACTGGTATGCACATGTAGCTCTGAGCGTTTTATCAAATGGATTGGAAGTACAAGTGTGAAACTTTTTAACAAAAATCATACCTTTTGTCAATTATCAACTGGAGAACGTATCCTCATGACAAACATCCAAGAAATTTACAAAAGTTTAAAAAAAGATTGTACATCCTATGAAGTACTTATTTCTGGACTAGTTGTAACAATTCTTTTATTTTTCATTGTTCTTATCCTGGGTATTAGCTACCGATTTCGATGGAAACTAAGATACTTTTACTATATGGTGAAAATTCGATCTCGAAGTAAGATACCGCAAATTGACGAAAATGAAAATGAATATATGTATGACACCTTTGTGTCTTATGCAGATGAAGATCGATCATTTGTTCATACACAGTTACTTCAGACACTGGAAAACAAAAATGGTATTCGTCTGTGCTTACACAAGAGAAACTTTTTACCCGGAAATGATATAGCGACTAACATTACTTCCGCCATTCACAATAGTCGTAAAACTATTGTCATTATGACTTACCATTATCTGAAGTCTTACTGGTGTATGTTCGAATTTAATATGGCGAGAATGGAGAGCATCTACGAACGCAATAACGAAAATGTACTTTTCCTTGTGTTTTTTGAGCAAATATCTGCTCGTGATTTTCCTTTGCATATTTTAGAAGTCGTTCAATCCCAATCGTACATAGAATTCCCAAACGACGAGCAAGGTGACGTAGTATTTTGGCGGCAGCTTGTTACTGCACTGAAATAATTTTTGAAAATAAGTGTTTACGAATATACGATTATGTCATAGGTGACTCTCTGATTTAATGAACAAAATTGAATAAAATATATATGAAGACAAGTATTTGTGTCCATAGTTTTATTGTTAATGTTTCGGAAATTTGAAAGAAAAACAAATATGCATGTATTTGGGTAAAAATAAAATATCAGATACACTCACACTCAAATAGATCTTTTACTTTTAAGAAAGAAATAATTACTGGAAGTTATCCCTAACCTTTCATCTATGCATAAAAAAGCTCAAACTTAGTATGAGGAAAGAAAATATTCGTTTTCAGTAACAGCAAAATTGAATAAAATTTAGAAACTAAATATTCTACATTAATAAAGACAATATCGACACGCTGAAATGTCTCGCCTTTTGTACTGACCATTGAATTTATTTTGAACGTCTAAGAGATAAAGGTACAGGTATCACATAATCTTAACATTTTTAAAAATCCATGACAATAAGGTCAAAGTCAGATAAATCAAGCCAGCCAGACATGTACCCCTCACAATTATTCCATACACCAAGTATAGTTGACCTATTGATTAAGATAATCAAAAAACAGTCAAAACCACAAAAACGTAACATTGGCCAATGAACCATAAAAATGAGATAAAAGTCAGATTATACTTGCCAGATAGAAATTTACACCGTACAATCATTCCATATACGAAATATAGTTGACCTACTGCATATAGTATTTGAAAAACAAACCAAAGCACAAAAAACTGAACATTGACCAACGAACCATGAAAATGAGGTCAAGGTAAAATGATACCTACCAGACAGACGGTTCACCTTACAATCATTTCATACACCAACTTTATTTGACCTATTGCATAAAGTACTCGAAAAACAGACCAAAACACAAAACTTAACATTGACCAATGAATCATGAAAATGAGGTCAAGGTCAGATGAAACCTGCCAGACTGACATTTCCTACGCCACATATAGCTGACCTTCTGCATTTGGTATCTGAGAAACGAACCTAATCACGTAACTTTATCCTCGATCAATGATCCATATAAAGAGGTCAATATCAGGTGTCTGACGGACATGTAGACGTTCCAGGGAACACACATATCAAACAAACTTATCCTCTACTCATAATAAGTGAGAAATCCATATGACAAAAAAAAATATTATTTTTTTTCAAGCAGTCGTTGAACCTTTAAAATGAGGTAAAGGACAATGGATACATGACAGACGGAAACTTCGTAACATAATGTATCTGCAAACAAGGTATGAAGAATCCAGATATTCAACTTTCTGAAATATAAAGCATTATAAAAATAGTTTACACAGCCGATGCCGCCGGAAAGTTATCGCTATGTCTCGCATACTCGGACTTTCGTCGCAGGCGAGACAAAATCCACTCATTTGTTTTAAAGTGCGAGCTATAACCATCGTGCTTACTTATATTGTCTCTGGTTGCTGACTATAAGGCTATCATAAATGCAATACTTCAATACGATATTAATAGTTTCTTCATACACTTTACATTAAATACAGATTGCGTTGACTTATTTCTTCTAGAAGTCTTCTGCTGTTGTCTGTTCTATGGTCGGGTTGTTGTCTCTTTGACACATTCCCTATTTCCATTCTCAATTTTATTGATTTATTATATAAATTTTGTACTTATTAGTAATTACAAGTAAAAGTATGTGTAATAAAATCAATGGCATTCGTGTTGTACCGGCCATCCGTGAGGTTGTCGATATCAGTCACGGTTTCAAATGCTTTATAAAACCCCTATTCTGTTTGACGTCACATCATCGATTTCAATCACAATTGCAAAGAATTAATCAAACCCTTGTCTACATGACGCCCCGCCACGTGACACATCTTATAGAGGTATAAAATAAAATGTATATGGTACGAAAATTTAAAAACCCATTCTAAAATGTATTAATTCAGATTTATTTTTTTAAGGGCATATAAAACAGAAAAGATCTCTCGTTGATTTTTTTCTATATAATTTTAACCAAATATTTAAATATTCACTATTGAAATATGCAAAGAAAAATATACCTTCATGACTTACATTTTAACATATTTCAGTTCAAAGGGGGACGAAAGATACCAGAGGGACAGTCAAACTCATAGATCGAAAACAAACTGACAACGCCATGGCCAAAAATAAAAAGACAAACAGACAAATAATAGTACAGATGTTACAACATAGAAAACTAAAGACTAAGCAAGACGAACCCCACCAAAAACTGGGGGTAATCTCAGGTGCTCCGGAAGGGTAAGCAGATCCTGCTCCACATGTAGCACCCGTCGTGTTGCTAATGTTATTACAAATCCGGTAAATAGTCTAATTCGGTTGGTCACTTTCGTGAAAAGGGAAGGGTATTGTAGTTACGACATAAGGAACATATCCGATATCATCTGTGAAACGGTTATTCCATAACGGTCAACCAACTCGTCTGTAAAATTTACGAAGGGATGATTTCAACTTCACCGTTTTGAAAATTTCAAAATGTTGCAGTTTTATTGCAAATAAAAAGCAATAAGCGTTTTTCTTGCTAAAAACCTCTTCTTGTTTCGATTTAACATTTCTGAAGTAGAACATAATCGAATGTAAAAAAAAATAAAACGGGGTGCATATGGTCATTTATAAGCTAGAAATAGAAAACCTAGTTTTTTAAATGCAGGAGATTCCATCGCCATTGTTTGCTCTTAATTATGTCGAAGTGTATTCTTAATGCATGTTTGGCGTAATGCTATTCACACCGTACTCAAAACCGTTATACCAATTACTGGTATATACGACTTTATTAATGATACAAAAGTAAACTGTTTCATTTGCATCGAATGACATGCCTTTGCAGGAGAGCTTGCAAACTTGAATACACACCTAGTTAGTTTTCACGTAACCAATTTGATGACGTTACTTAATTTACGCGAATATTGATGGATTGTCCACAGCAACGTTGTGGAAATAACACGTTAAAGGACGCATACGTATCTGTATTTTCTACTGTATGGTATGCCCTTTAGAGATGTATATGAAACAAAACGATATTCATCGATCGATACTTGCTTTTCAGATCCCTACTTTAATGTGTTAGCCTTTCCATTTGGTTTTCCATGATATATGTTTCTAAAAAAGGTGACATACATTGTAAAAATTGTCAAGTGGATATTGTGTAGTTGAATTTTATCCAAATAAGAAAAAGAAGGATTTTGAAATTATACGATAAAAATCCTTGGACAAATCAATATATGAAAGTACAAGCAATTATTTCAATTTTAACAGGTTCCATGGTCTATTCGATGTACAGTGCAAACATCTACAATAGAAATGTAAATAGAAAAAGTTAAAGACATTTGCACAATCCTATTTTGTAAAAATAAATATTTCCTTTTAAATTTCTAATGTAAACCATGAATTGTTTAGGTGTACAGGTAAAACATGTCTCTTTTGATCGTATAGCGCCTCATGTGCTTAGGTCTTATTTATCTTTGGCTTTCAGATGTTTTGGTTTGAGCGTTCGTGATTAAGGTAAATCGGACGCAACGAGTTCATAGTGTTATTTACAATTACAGGATCAACATTTTTGACTAGCATTGAAATCTATTGATTTCTGAAAACCATTTGCCCTTTAAATATTTATCATTAAAAAAAAGTTGTATTACGTTCATGCGCAGTTCTCGTGTTTCTGGGGAAAAAACATATATTGAGGTAAAGTGGACCTGACTATTTCTGTAAGTCCCTTTTTTGTTGCAGTTTCATGTATTTGTAAAATTTCAAGCGAATTCGTAGCGTTCTAAATAGAGAATAATTCGGAAAATTATATATCTCCATATTGATACAATATTTTTCGGTCTGTGATTCCTATCACGATTTCAATGATAGAGGATTGCTGCTTACAAGAAAGATATTGTACCAAGGGTTCATATGATAAGCTATGTTGTAATCATCCATCCAATTATTTACATGATGTGGTTGACCGTTATCAACTATCTGTTTCACAGATCCCTTCAGATTTTTTCGACGTCAGGCAACAATGCGGCCCTTCTTTCCTTAATTGTAACATAACCGACGACTTATCACCAATTTTCACCTTTAATGAGTAACACGACGAGTGTCACTACTGCGGCTGGAACTGCTTATCCTTTCGAAGGATCTGCGTTCACTCCCTTTTTTACTTAGGTTGGTTTTGTGTTTCTTAACTTTATAGTTTTCTGTGTAGCTTTGTGTGGGCTGTTTGTTTGTTATTTTTCGTTTTTGATTTTTGACATGGTGTTGTTTGTTTGAATTCGATTTGTGATTTTAAATTACTCCTTGATATGTTCTCCCTTTGGGAGCATTTTTATGATTTATCAAATCAATAGCAATTTTCAATTTTCACAATACTTGGAATATGGAATAAAAAATAAATTGTGAATTAAAAAACAAACGATATTGGAAATCATGACATCATGATTAAGTTTCAATCTTACTACATGAATAATAATAACAATCAGACAATAAGAACTTTTGCTCGGTTATAATGTAACGCAAACAAATATATTTGTCTCATAACACAATGAAATCATAAAAAAATCTAGTGTTCTTTTACAAGTCCTTATATTCATACCTTAAGAAGAAATGCCGCTGCCATCATTCCTATGACAAGAAACAACCAAGTCGACATAAATGATGACCGTTGTAGTTTCTTCTTTGTTACCATCTGAATAATGTTTATCTTCTTTTGTGTGTATGGAGGGTACCGTATCCTGAAAGGATAAACATTTAATAAAAAAAACCAGGTTAATATATTTGGTCAAAGTTAACTCAAACTACTAAGGACTCCTACTATCTTCGTTGATTTTATAAATGATTTGGTCTCTTTTAATTTTGATTACCGTTATGAAAAATGAATCGAATGATTTCGTTTTTTCGGGAATATGACGGCTATCACGAAAATATTTACGCTTTCGTTGAGTTTTTTAAACTAAATATTTGTCTCGCTTGCTGAAATATGTAAGACGTGGGACTAATTATCTGAGAGTGGTAATGAAGACAGCTTGTATTTACTTTTATATTTCAGAAGATAAACTACGTTGATTATCCATGTCTTCTGAAACGTTCATCCAACATTTGTCCTAGACTTAGGTTAAGATTATTTTTTGATAACAGTATAAAAGCAGTTGATTATTTATATCACGCTACATCTACTCCTTCGAACTATCTTTGGAGTGACATATGTTTTCATTTAAGATGCAAATAATGAATCATTTCATTTTTTTATTACAATTCTTATGGATTGTAGTTTTGTTTAGAAGTCATTGCATTATTTGTCATAAAAATTGTTGTATTTTTTGGTATCTGTCTCCGATATTTTCAATTCATCTGTAAAAAATAAAAATAGCTTATTTCTAGTAATAATAACCAACACGGTTTTACTAGGATAAAAACAGTCAGCATGACAAAATATATATCTTACACTGTGATTAATAAATAAGTACAAAATGCACATTGCCCGGATCAAACTTACGATTGTAATCCTTCCAATATTAGTTCTCTCTCTAAGCAAGCTCTGTTATGACTAAATGTGTCAAAGGTCAACTTGCCATGATAAGCTCCCAAACCGCTGTTCCCAACACCTCCAAATGGTAAAGTCATCACTATATGTATGAAAAAATCATTTAGTATTCACCGAAACATGTGCCAGTTGATTAAAAACAATCAAGTGTAACAAACTGATGATTTTTTTTTCAGATGACAGTATAGTGTAACGGTTAGTTTTTACATTCCCCAAAAACAAGAAGGAATACATGTACATTTGATGTTTGAAGGGAGTATAAAACGATTTTGTTTATAATGTGACCCTATATTCATTTGACACTTCTTTTGTCTCGTGTATCTATAAAAGGTATACATCGACTTGTTACTTCCAAGCACAGTGGTGCCGAAGAATGATTTACGTCAGTATTAATCAAATATAAATTGCATACATTAATTCCAATTATAGTAAACAAAAGCACCAGAAAATGCCGTAAGTACGATAAATAATCTCTATGGATAATTAGGTGTATGCGTTTCCACAACAATATTACAAGGATTTCAACTGGCACGACATGTTCGCCTTACATCTTACTTAAATCTTAATTTAGTTCGCACGACAGCTAGGCCATTTTTTGCTGAATGATTTGAAACTGAAAATTTCGATTTGTATCTGAGAGGAAAAAAAAATAATTAAATTACTGACCTCCAGCATGTAACATTGTATCATTAATTACTAAACCGCCACTACTCGTAGAATTACTAAACTTTTCTTTCACTGTCTTATCATTTGAAAAGATATACATGGCCAGAGGTTTTTCACTGTAAAGATTATTTATTATTTATTAAATAATAATTGATATGTTCAGTTCTTGATATTGAAATCACTTTTCATTTCTCAAATTTAATTCTGATTTTAACTCTTTTTCTATGTCACTTTACAGTGTGTAAGTCTTTACTCATATTTTTTTACTTTGTCTCAGTGAAATTAAACTTTCGTCAATTGCATTTTGGTGAATAATGTCCCATTGATAATTTACCATGCAGTTATCTACGAATATATTCAACTGGTCGTAGCCATATTGTCGTCCTTTCTTCCATGTTTAATAGATTGTGACATCGGAGATTGTTTACTTGACACAATACGGGCTGCTCAAAATTCCGAAGCAACTTGGCTCAGACCGCGTTTATGAGGGGGCTTGTGTTTATCTTAAATTTCTGTTAGTTGTGTTGTTGTTGCCTGTTATTTATATAAGCCTCCTTCGTTTTGGCCATGGTGTTGTCTGTTAAAGTTAACATTGTTTTATAACCCACTTTGTATCTTCACCTATTGTATCTATTACCTTTTTTGATTATCGACTTTCATTGCTTATTTGCATTATTAATATTCTAATAGTTCTATCAAGAACATATATTTCAGGCAAACAAGATTTTGAATATTCGTAAACCAAATGAAGGATTCTAAACAACCACAACAAAGAAAATGTAGAAACAAATTAATAAACTCTTTATGACAAACATGCGTTCTAAAATATTCGTTGTTGGAAAACGAAAATTGACGATTTCAATGATTTATTAGGGGACGCATCATCTCTCAATGGAAGGATGAATGGTTGTTTAACACACAGTGTCAATTTAAATGCATATTCAGGACCATCTCTCAGTAGAATAACACTGTTAATAAAGTACATCAAAATATAACTTCTGATTGTAGATCATTTAGTGATCCCATGACATTTAGTGCCGATTGTATAAATACAACCCAAACAGTGGTCGTAACGAAAGAATTTTTATCTTATTTAGACCATGCAACAAATATCAAAACAGGAGTTATTTTGCCGTTGCTAATATTGTTTATCAGCATTTAATCAATTATATAAATAACACATAGCTGAAGGGTGATATGGCAGATTGTTACCCCGAGAAAACATTGTCAACTGAGGCAAAACCATGGTTGACAATGTTTTTTCGAGGGATAGCAATCTGCTCCATCACCCTCTCAGGTATGTGTTATTTAATTCAATATACTGAATGTTCTGTTATTACTGTCTATTAAATTTCAAATTCAAAGTAATAAACTATGTCGTCTTGTTCATAACAATTCTCCGTATTGATTAAAGCGCACACTTGAGCAAGCGTCTCCGTGAAGGTTAATAGAGTATTTGCCATATGATAGAGTAAATTGTCTCCCTCGTATTAACCAATCAAAATCTGGCATTTTGACATGAAGAATAATAATATTGAATGTCCCTTTGGTATCTAGGTGCTCTTCTAGGGACATGATTACTGTGTGTAAATATATCATGTATGAATGTATTTGTACATGTAGATCCATAACGTGAGTATATATATTTATCATAATCTAGTGATAATCTAGTATCCGTTCTGATTTGCATTTTGTACTATCCTAATAATGAACATCCATCAACTCACCCATTTACAATATAGTTTATAGCATCATCCTCGTTGTTCACTGGTACTATTGGCAGGACAGGTCCAAACATCTGCTTGAAAATGAATGTTGTAACATAAAAGATAACTGATACAGAATAATGACAAGGGGAATAGCAAGATATGTACAACTTGAGTATGAAATACTGATATCTTTACTTTATGTTTTCTATTAAGTTCGGTACTGGCATATAAGTACAGCATTTTTTTTAATTTTTTTTCAGAAAACTTCTGATATCCTTTGAAATTCAGAAATTCAGTAAGTTATCTCCCTTATATATAGCTCTGATTATGTTTTCTTTGGCTATACTTTTATTTTTATTTTTTTAATTCATATACAAACACTTCAGAGTTTCTTTTAGGTTATTGATTTTCGTTTAATTTGGACTCGAGCATCACTGAATAGATATAATTTGTCGATATGCATATCAGATGCAATACAGTTGGTGTCGTTAATGTCATTTCTATAACTAGTTGTTGTCTTATTATTTCAACTTTACATTGACTGTGAAAGAGTTAAAAAAGACAAATCGATATTCGTTGTATTTTTTAGATTACGAATTGCTGTTTTGTGACATGTAGAACCATTTAACATTTATTTGATATCACCTCTTCCTGCATAGCAGGATCTGTAAACTTGACATCTTTTAATATCGTCGGTGACACGTAATATTCCTTCTTATTTGTTGTCCCACCAATAGCTATGTTGTCTTTACTGCTGTCAATTATCTTTTTCACTCGTCTTAAATGTAAACATTTAACTTGATATTAAAAGGCATTAGCTACAAATTAGACAAAAAATTCAAATATGATTTATTTTGTTTCAAACATTTATTAAAGCTGAATAGAGTGATACTGTTTCGCTATCAGCAGTCAGTTTAGTCAATTGAGTCAAAATTAGATTTAAAAAAAAATCGCTGATGTATTGGCTTACAAGTAAATAACTCAACTTATTTAAATCCGTATTCATGCACCTTTTTTCTACCTTAAGTGGAGATGGATTGTACATGTGTTCAGCATGTGGTTCATTCGTTAAAAAGACAAGAATGAATCACATGCTGAAATAAAACCATATTAATAACAGGAATAATCATGTTGTTGACTGATCCGGCCAACAACAAATCATTCTTATACAGGTAAAAAGATGATATCCATATACTTTATAGATAACATGAAATCGAACAGACATAGCAAAATCGTCATTATACGATTGCACGTGCTTGTATGTTTACTTATATTAATATTTATGTTTATATCGGCTTATATGACCGTCAGCAGTCTTCAGAGATCATCTCGATGCATAATTGGATGGCGTCTAGTCTAAAATACGCACGAAATGCTGATACATTGATACATTGTAACGAGTCCGTGCATTGTTAATTGTTTCTTTTGACTTTTTGTAATGTAGATATACGTTTCAGTATGTTATAACTCAAATATGAGAATTTGGTCAAATCAGTATAAAGAATTTGACAGTTAATGCCCTTTTAACAAAATGTGTATGTTCATCGAAAACAATGTCAGTCCCGTGTGTCACTAAAATTGGTACCATAATTTGTTCACAATTTTAGTATTTTGCAATAAAATATTGTATACTTAAACCGAAATGTCTTGACACCAAAAAAACGACTTGGTGAAAAAAACCGCCTTTTGCTGCTAATGAAAATCAAAATAACAGTTTGATTCAGATTAGTAATCAATTCTTAAGGTTCAATTTTGAACATCTTAGTGTATCATTGTTTAATTTAAAGTAATCTTAATTATCTATTACATTTGTGTGAATACCGATCAAAGAATAGTGTCTGAACAATGTAATCATTTGCACAAAAATGGACGTAATGCCTTTAATGTTGGTATGTTTTAACTTCTAAACCAATTGAACATTCGCAATTATATATTGAAAATAAGATATATGTAGCATTTTGTCTCCTGTTTAATTTATCAACAAATAATATGTCATTAGAATTGCGAAAAAAAATCATAATTACTGGAAGTTTCTGTCATTGCCCAATCTGCCGTAACTGCCTGAGCTGTATGGGTCACCTTGATAGAATGCATTTATTGTTATCTTCATTGCCTGAATCAGTTCCTCCTGTATATGGAGAAAGAAGGGTGCAAATTAACAAAATCAACATTGTAAAAGATCCGTCTTACATTTTTTTATCTTGACAAGTCAGCCGAACGTGATCTTCCTATACATTTGAATACATTTTTCCAAAATTAAATAATTTTATTTCTTTGCACTGAAAAACATTATCGTTAGCAAATATTTTTGAAAGAAATTCAACGTGTCTACATAAAGCGTCTGTTTGGCTGCTCTAAATCTTTACACCACGACTCATTTCGAAATTTTAAATCAAGGCATGTGTTTTAGAAATGCAACGCGCGTTAATAATATAGTTAATTCGAGTACTTTGAAGATAACATCAAGTGGCAATAAAATTATTTTTCAAACTCAACAAACAACAATCCCGATTCTATGTAATCATGTGTCCGTGGTGACCCCACTTGTTGTTGTGTTGTCCCGAATATGCACATGCAAAGAATGGTTCTCAGACGACCTTAAGCAATACATAAATAACTTCAAATTCAACATCCGTATAAATTCATTGATAATCAGTTCCTGTTGTTGCATTTCGCATTGATCTCATTTCCTGTCGAAACAGTTACCAATCCGTACCTGAATGTCTTTCGTGCACATGACATAATCAGGTGCTATACATGTCTGTCCAGCGTTTATTGTCTTCCCCCATAGAAGTCTGTTAGCTACTGCTTTGTAATCACAGTTTGTATCCACATACACCGGACTATAGAACAAGAAAATATGCATTTATTAAATAAGTAGTATTGATAACTAAAATGTCGTGTAAAAACTTACATTTTAGGGGGTATCAGGACTATCTGTAAATACAATGTCATTATTGTTATATTTTTTGTTTTGCATGCAACCAATTTCTTTTTGTTCCTCTGTTTGTTTCATTCGTGTATGGTGTATTTGGCATATTGATATACCTTGCAACACGGTCGCTTATGTTCTTTAAATTTCTTTCATGATGGTCACTATTTTCAAATACAAGATTGATAAAAAAAAACTTTTAGATAGTTTTAGACTTGTGTACTATATTCCTCTCTTTTGTATCTCTTTAAACATATAATCTTTAGATGACACAATTATTTGGAAGAGTTTAGTTTTTTTTTTGTTGTACCACGTATGAGGATAAATTTAAACCAGCCTAACTAAAATAGAATTTTTGGTTGGATTTTCAGATTTAAAAAGGTGTACTAGTGTGTTATTTTTAGTTGGTCTCTTTTGACATGAAGATCACCAATACCAATTGTACCTGAAGTAAAGCGTATTTGAAAGATAGAAGACAACTTTTTTATTACTTCCTTCATTTAAGTAAAAAAATTAAATTGTAGCAATATCAAGTACATGCTTTACAATTAGACCACTTGTAACATAATAATGCTTTCAAATGTCTTTTCAATGGGCACCTGTATATTTTTTTAAAGATATGCAATGGAACAACTGAACTGTACCCTCTGTCTTTGAATTAAACATCAGTTTTCTAAAGAAATCAGCTTACTCAATGTTCTTGCAAACAGAAATATCAAATGCACGATTTAATGATGATGAGCTTTTCTTAAAAACAAGATAATAAGATTAAACCATAAAGTGTCTCCGAACAAAAAATACTTTTTGCCTCCTAGTTCTAGTGTGACCGGAGTGAGATATTGACTAGCAGCATTCATGACAATCTTCCCTACAGATGTATTTCCTGTATAGAAGATATAATCATATCTTTCATTCAGTAAGACTGTTGTTTCCCCAGTACCTCCATTTATAATTTTTATACAGTCCTGAAAATTGAAATAATAAAAAAATATTATCGAATAATGTGGACAGGCAAAAAAATCACCCAAAAGCCCTTGCAAGTTGAAAGCGTTTGAAGACAATATTGAAAATAATATATAAAAATCCACAATATATGGACATAACAAATAACAACATTTTATTCCATAAATGATAAAAAAAAGTACTTTCTGCGTATTTAATATTTGGTTTACATAATTTACCAATTTAAATCAGACGTTTCTATGGAAAATTATGTTATATTAATAGCATGTGTTGCGATATTATTTTGTCTTGTTTTTTGGATATATATCGCTTTTTGCATTTACAATTTAATTACAATGTTACAGAAAAGCGCTTCGGACGCATTAAATTTATAATGTGTTGTTTCATTTTTCACAGCACTGGGTCAATACCGCTGCTGGTGGACTATTAGTCCCCCGGGTGTATCATCAGCTCAGTAGTCAGTACTTTGGTACTGACATGATTTATAACAAACCTTTGTAATATTGTCTGTTTTTTTTAATAAATTTTGAAATGATAAGAAACTTAGGTGTCAACTCCCTTAGGCAAAATTGACCTTAGATAAATTTGCCACTTTTTTTAAGGTTCTGTTGGTCATATAGCTCTTCAACTGTTTAGATTATCGGCTTTGAGCGTTCCTGATGAAGTTAAATCCAGAAAAGCGCTTCAGACACATGAAATTTACAATGTGTTGTTTTCATTTTTTACTGAAATGTTTCATTTTCCCTCTTTTAAATGAAATTGTTTTCACTAAAACTTTTTAACAATATGCTTGGCATTGGATTATTGTGTTTGAACTGAACTGTTTATTGTGTAGTTGCTGTGTGAAATCTACTCACAACTTAGCGGATCTTTATAGAGTGTAAAAAATCTTGGCTCGCTTCTATATAAGGTAGAGCTTCCTTTCAGTTATTACGATAATACTTTGTTTATTTTCAGTTTGGTATTTTTTCACATGTAGAAGTGTTTTCGTTGCTGTGTTGTTTTTTTTTTTTTTTTTTGTAATTTCTTTTGTCGATATGAAAGCGTTAAATGCTTTATCTGAACTGTTATTTATTTAACGTTCTTCCATGCTCATTTAGTTATTCCAATGATGAAGAAAAAAAGTGGATATGTTAAATACGGAAAAAAAGTAAAAATCACAAAATTACTGAACTTTGAGGAAAATTCAAAAAGGAAAGTCCCTAAAGCCAGTTTAAATTCCTGCACATAAAAAATAAGTCTATCACAAGTAACGAAGCTGGTCAGGTGCTGTCTTACTGGGGCTCTGGCTCTTTGGTGCTTATGGTAGATCTGTTGTGGGCTAAATTAATAGACAACTTTGACGAGGCAAAGTTCGTCTTTTTCATTTCTCATAATCTGTCTCCAGCTTAATTTTTTGCTTGTTTTCTTTTTATAGAAATTCAATGGCAACCTACACAGTAGGACAAAAATACCTTTTTAAACGCTGTTGTAATATCCACAGTGATTTATCTTACGCACGTACAATTATGTTACAGTGCACCATGTTGTGAATAATGAATGGTGAATTGGTGTTCTCAGAGAACAATAAACTGAGGGTTGTTGGTAATTATACGGATGCGTTAATAAGAACAACAAATCAACCAAATACACCGATAAAACATTTATCAGTTTCCAAATCCAAACATTGAACAATAAAATACCAATATGGCACAACCTAGAAGTCTACAAATGGTACTTGCTTACCCTGTCCAGGTATTTAGGAACTAATTTTTCCAGCACCTGTGAAGTACTCCTAGAAATTCTGGAGGTCTTCAGTAAAACACAATTTCCTTGATTAGAGAAAAGAATTGAAATAACATAACGCAATTAAAGTAATAACCAGATTTCACAAGTAAATCAATCACTTTTTTGTAAAACAGAATTTTCGTCTCCATTGATTGAAGTTTTTATTGCCTTCTTATATCCATTGATAAATGTATAGATTCTACCATCGCATCGCGTGTGGTATGTGGGATAATTCAATTATAAACGCGAGACGATAGGTTGGTTAAATTTGTTTCTCCCATGGTCCATTGGTCATATGCAGGCAAATCATTTTTATTGATTTGTAATAGACAGATTTTTTTTCTGTTAAAATCATAGTCTATAATAAAAATTGAAATCACGAACACTTCACGTTGATGATAAACACAACAGTAAACTTTTTTTTGAGCTTTCGTAACCTACAAATATTCAAATATGACTGTTGGTGCACGTGTTATCCCCGGGTGTGCAAAGAAATGTCATTGATACGGTCATTGATTTTTTTTCAATACCTATATTTTTCTATTTTAGCTATATTTCATACACCTTATACATTTTATAAGAATTCTATTTTAGTAGAATGAATAAGACAAAATAAATCTAAAAATGCTATAATGTTTTCATATTCAAGAAGAGTAAATCCATTAAACTTGCAATACCTGCAGCTAAGGCACCAAACATTGGCATTAGTGTTAGCATTACTGGAAAATTCCACGTTCCTATGACAAGAACTACTCCATATGGTTGTTTCTGTATGAAAGCTTTGTCCATTATATTAGTTAGTGGTTTTTGAACCTTAAAAGTCGTAAAACATGTATAAAAGAGAGAGGATACCAAAAAGGCAATCAAGACGTTCAATAAAAACAGACACCTCCATAGATAAAAACTAAAAACAGGCATCACCGTAATAACAACTATTACATAGAAAACTAGCCTGAGCAACACGATCACCAAAAACACCGGTTGATCCGGAAAGGTTCAGTAGTTCCTGCTCTACGTGTGGCACCCATTGTCTTACTCATTGCAAGTTAAAATACGAAGATAAGTCGCATTCAGTAATGTCACCATCGAGGAAAAGAAGGCAGGATTGCGGAGACGACATGTGAAACTTATCTGTGGTCAGTTGAAGCACATTTATTCCTTATATTAACAGTTAACCAAATAATGAAAGCGTCCGTATAAAGAAAGAAGAAAGGAGTAAGACTTTTTTATTTGAAACCCTTGATGTAATAGCTTCCTTATCCAGCAGTCGTCCTCTATCATGATAGGTTATAATAAATAATGGAATATAGAAGCATATTGACATTTACTCCATGTGGAGGCTCTGTCGGTTACTTCTACACAGATATGAAAAGCTTACAATCGGAATTAAAACGTCAAGTTTACTTCTCAACATGCCCACATTGTCAATTTCTAGGTGTAATTCAAGAGAGGCGAAGGATACCAAAGGAACATTCAAACTCATAAATCGAAAATAAACTGACAACATATGAAGCGTAAATGCTTTTGTGGTATCCTTTATTTCAATATCATTGGAAATGATGCATGCAACAACGTCATTAACTAGGAATTAATCATTAAAAGGACATCATCTATATAACGGAACGTGTGAAGTTTAAGGTTAATGCCATTTACTTAAGAAGCCCTTGAATGAAGTCTGATTCATAAGAATAAAGACTCAAGTCCTGCGTGTAATTAATGTAAATTAAGTTGTATTAGATAACTAAATGGTACTACGGGTATATTTGGCTTTCTGTGAATATTTCAAAATGGTAAAATGTAACTGAACCTTAAACTGGTCATTTAAAATACAATCTAGCTTCAAAACGAAAAAATAATAATTTAAATCTTCAGCCATTACATCACAATGAAGGTAAAAGTATCTTATGTTTACCTTAAATTATGCAGATCTTATACCTTTTGAGGTTTCATCCATTCCTTTAAATTATTCATCGTATCAATCAAGTCATTTCTACACTGGTCAATTTCAAAAAATGCTTCCAAGAGAGGCTGCAAAATAGAATACAATATTTCGTTCTAAAATATAATAGTCCACACTTAGTGAGATGTGAAAATGTATGCAAAAAGATTGAATTTCAATTATAAAAAAAGATTAATCATAAAGTTTATCTTTAAAAGTATCTTAATGTAAAATACACTTATAACAACAACAGCACTATACCAATTAAAACGTTTTAATATTCAATGTCAAAAGATACCAAAGCAGTCCTCTCTCATACTCCGGTCGAATGTAAGCTGTTCTAAATTGCCATGAAAGTACGAACAAAGTTAGTACGCCTTTATGTCTTATTTTTACCCTATGTCAGTGCTTTTGGGTTATCTCGTGAGTAGGTGTCAACACTATTCATTAGTAATTCTTTGTTGTTTTGTTCATTTATGGACAGAGATTAATGAATCTTGGTCTTCATCTAATTACTAGTATTTATAAATGTATTGACCTGACCTTGTGCAGATCGTTCTTTAAAGATGTTACTATTTCTTCTTTGTTTTCGTCCAATAGTGTAAGAACTCCTTCTAACTGCTGTCTTCTCCATTCATATGATTTTGTTTTACCAGTCCGGTATGCAGCTCTCAATTGTCCTACAAGCTAAGATTAATTTCCATTCAATTTCTAAATAATGATTTCATTTTCACTTTTCATTTTTAGAAGCCATTGTTCACAAAAATGTACAAGTGGTATGTATGCCAGGAACATTTATCCCCTTTGAACATATATAAATACTTATTTTACGTTTTAAAAAAAATTTTCCGTACATAATTTTGCAGAAAATTCCTCAAGTAAGAACAGTGGATAGCAAGAGATCCTTTTGCATTTCTTAAATATTTTATATTACCTCTGTGTAAAAAGCCATTTAAGTGTATCTCTTTCGAAAAATAGTATGAATCCACACACGAATTCAAAGAGTGAAATTAATCAATGTTGAAGTCATTTGTTTGTCTATACTGGTCTGAATAACAAAATCGTCGTACTTTGATATCTATAAAACAAAATTAACTATCATACACAAAAGACTACGATCGTTTTAATTAGATAAATATGTATTATAAACATATATTTTGACAATGAGAAACATTCACCAGAACATTTTTCTGATTAAGTTATAAAACCGTTAATAACTACATAGGTACGTAAATAAAGATGTATTTGAAAGTTGCCCATCGATTGACAGAGACGCTTAAAATAAGGTTTAGACCAATCTACTACTATATACGTGATTACCTTTTCCATCGATATGACTCTATTGCATATCTAACTCGAGTAGCAAGGTGGGTGTTACCAGTGGAAGAGTTAATATTGCTCAATCTTTTGTTTTCTGTGTTTTTTATCTATTTTTGTCTTTTGGTTTTTTTTGTTTTTTTTTGTTGCTTTTCATTTAATGGTGTTGTTTGTTGTTATTCTACTTAAATTTGTAATGCCCCTCCCCTTTATTCAGTATCGTCATAGACGAATGTTGAAGACGGAAAGAAAGCAATATGAAAATCTTAGAGGATAATAATAAGTTGGATTTAATATATATCCAGATTATGGATCAGTCTTGCCTGAGCGGAAATAAATTATCCTGATGTTAAATATGACACAATTACCTGTTAAAATGTTATCAACCAAGACTTTATTTTACCATTAATTTAAACAAAAACGTCCATAAAACTTTGAGAGAAACACCATTAACTATAGCAAGGATTGCCACGGGGTTAAAGGACGACGGTAATAATACAAGAAAATATAAAAACAAATTGAAGCTGATCGAAACATATATTCTCTGTGAACTAAAACTATATATGTGTTGATTTAATTAAATTAAAAGCTATTTTCTGGGGCATTGCATAATCTACATATGCACTGGTTGTTCTAATCTATATATTTTTTGAAAAATTGAAATTTCATTTGATTGATTTTTTTTTTTGGTATAAAACTAACGCTTAAAATTGAAAACTCCATGGTAGTGTTTATAACACCAGCATGACAGTTGCATTACATCGCAATAATTTCTAATAATATAGAATTATTCTTAAATTCATTTTTAATCATCCTATCTTATATTCAAGTGCAAATCTACATACTTTTATGAATTTCTACACTAGTGAAGTATTTTTTTACCAAACCCAAAGCGAAAAAAAAACCTACTATTGCCAATTTTTTACAATTACTTAGTCAACATGCCTATAACAGAAATCATGGATGAATTGTTTCGAAAGTATGTTGATCAGAATGTTTTATCCAAAAATTGTATATTGATTTACAAAACAAAATTAGGATTTTCTAATAAACTTTCGTATTACAATCTTCTCATTTGTTGATATTATATACGAAGTACAACAATTGATTTGTTATTCTTTAGTTTTGTAGGAGGGAATGACGTATTCTAGTGGTATTTTTTGTTGCCTGTGACGTGATTCTTCAAATCAAAATCAAACGAAAAGGTGCCACATGTAATTCATTGGTTTTATTTATGTCCTATAAAATAGCAAATGTTTTGTACCCAGTGAATATTAAGTGAATAGCGGATCAGCTTTTAGGTTGAATTCAGAAAACCCTCACAGTGAAGCAACCAACTGGATGAGCTCTTACTTAGAAGGAAATAAAAAATGGCACATCATTTGAAAAGCACAGTCAATATGTGTTCAATACCTCAGGAAGTTTGTTATAGTAGTTATAGCTGCTGGTTGGATACTGCCTGCCGTTCAAGAAAAGAAATACCCTGTAACATCACTCCTTTAAGGTTTTACGAATTTTCATCAGACAATTTGACTAAAATCGGTAGTAATTGTTTGAGGTCAGTAGGTATTTTGACGAAATACCGGTATCATTAATAGTCATTCCTTTTATTATTTTGGGGGAAATGGTGAAATTGATTGAAGCCTTTAATTCCCTTCATTAATATGTTATTTAAGTAAAACCAAAAGCATGGAAATAGAAAATAAACTACAATAAAAGACTTTTTTTAAATATTAAAAATACATGTTTGAAAATATACAAAATATTTAAAAACCATTAATCAGACAAAGTAAGTTTCCGACTATTTCATTCAACGTTTATTACTGCTCAACATACTATACTCTTGTCTATTTAAAATAAATATTAACATCTAATAAACAATGAATTAAAATATAAAAACACGCTAATAGTTTTCCATTTACCTTAATTATGTAAGCTATGATTGTCCAGCTTTGGCTCCGAATTATGCAACAATCAAGGTCTTAATATCGCTTTCAACATCTACTACGCAGTGTCAAATTCTAAACAGTTAAATCATTCTAAATATAAGAAAAGGCAGTTAGCAGTTTACTTACAAAATCATCAGCTGAAGATTGTTTTTAGTCAACTTCCTAAGATAGCCGAAAGATTGAGTGTGCAAATTTTCTAACAGCTATATGAGTAAACAATCCTGAATCCTAATTAAAGCAACCTAGCTATAAAAAATTTATAAAAATCTAATTAATACATATGCGAAATCTTATTATCAATAGTCTGAAATTATTGTTATAGACAGCTTTCAAAATATCCGTCAATATCAATTACAAGTATCAGAAAAAATGTATTAGACCAGTTTTCATAGATGTGTAAATGAGAGAGGACTGGTAATGAGATTAAGACCGAAAACAAACAAACCACAGAACGAAATAACACTCTATGAATTTCGTGCGTCCGACGCATTTTATGGATTTATCCTAATCAAGAACGACCAAACCAAAACACTTGAAAGCCAGGAATGTATAAATAAATAGAAAGAAATGGTATGGGCTATATGACCAAAAGGGACTAAAAAATATAGCCAAATTCTTCTAAATTCAATTTTGATAAAGAGAATTGGTATCTCAGTTTCTTAATAATTTCTTGTTTATCAACGCGGAATTTCAGTATGTTATAAATCATGTCAGTGCCAAAACGCTGACTGCTGAAATGGGGACTAACAATTATTTATTAAAAAAAATCATATTTTATTTTTTTACAAATTATAGGTTAATATCATTAAACAAGAAATTTATGAATTGCCATTTAATTTTAATTTGATGTTAGTGTAAAAATTATACTATTCTGGGCATAAATTATTCATTCATATGTTCCCAAACACTGAAAGAGAACGGTAAAGCAAATGTGTCTAATAACAATATAAACATTGATTGATTGTTGCTAACTGAACGTCCGACAATATTCAGATAATGAGTGTAAAGATAATCTTATAGACTCAGTCTTAAAATAAATACAAAATGTAAATGACACCTTTATATAGGAAATGATTTACAGGTATGTTTTCTTGTCTTGTGTATATTTGTATGTTTATTTGACCTGTATACAAACTTTATTTAAATTGATGTTATGGTGATGTCCTAATATCGCTTTCAACTTGAAAATATTAAATATTTGATTGCACATCCTCTTTTCAAATGTACAGTTTTATTAGGATTGTTTACTTGATATTGTCAACGTTTGTCTACATGGACTCTTGCTAAATCTTTATTTTTCTATGAAGGTTTTTGTGGTCTGTTTGTCTTTTCGTCATCTTTCACTTTTTTTACCATGGTGTTGTTAATTTTTCTTCGACTTATGAGATTGAATATCCCTTTGGTATCTTTTATCTCTTTTTTAAGTAGTTTACTCCTGTGTCTGAGCAAAAAGGTTGATGAACCAGGGGTATGTCAAAGAACGTCTCGTCCTTTTTCTAAAAAAGTTCATCGGAAGGTACCAAGACCTTGTTGATAAATATATCAACTTCACAAATAATACATGATGGTCTTGAAGTATAGATTCTGCGTACTGACGCTGTTTATCATCTTAATAACGTGTTAAAGTGTTATTTTATTTGTCTTTATTAATATTACTTTTACTGTTTGGTCTGTTTTTGGTGATATACATTTGACGTGGCTCTGCATCCCGTCATTGTGTTGTTTGTATTATTTTTCATTTCTACTTGTGTGCTTTGTCCGTGTGACTTTTTATGTTTCTTTGATTCATATGACGTGTCTCTGGTTTTTTAAACATCCCGCCATTGTGTTATTGTTCTATTATAATTTTTGCATACTTTGAACGAAAAAATTATTTTATATCTCTAACTGTGTTACGTTTACATTCTGACGTCAAACACGCGATTCTACGCCAGAGTTAATGTTAAAATTACGATTCGGTCCCAGTGCTTAAAATCCCTCGATCCTTTATTGGTTGATTTGGCATACATAAATAAAATACAAAAATAAGTAAGCAATGAACGAGGTTGTTAAATGTGATATATGCTTTTTGTGCTTCTTTGTTAAATATTTGTTTGTTTTTGTTGTGATTAAGATTGTGACCCGGTGTTGACTGCTGTACCCCTATTTTGACATTTTTACCTATTATATCTGTTTGTTTTATTCACGCATCGTTGTCAATATAATGGAATTTGATGCGACTGTCATACAAGTTAGAGGTTTAGCGCTATAAAACCATGTTCAATCCACCATTTTCTACATAAGAAAATGCCTGTACCAAGTCAGGAATATGACAGATGTTGTCCATTCGTTTGATGTGTTTGTGCTTTTGATTTTGCCATTTGATTAGTGACTTTCCGTTTTGAATTTTCCTCGGAGTTCAGTATTTTTGTGGTTTAACTTTTTCCTGTATGTCTATTTATTAACAAGCACTCTTGTCAATCGGCCGTTGCAAAACATGTGATACAGACTACAGTGATAACGATAAGTGATTCTGGATTAACCTTCACATGACAAGTTCGAGACAAAAGCCTTTGTATGCTTGACTTTATAGAAGACATGTTGGTTGTTCAGTTTTTCAAAGTTTACCTTATGATGCTATAAACGTTTTACATATGAAAGTTATAACGGAAACTCTAGTCGTTTGCATTGGAATCGTCATTAAAATTTTTGTGACCTATAAGTATAGAATATTACATGGCATTTTTCATATCAGACCCTTTATAGGCCCCTTCGTATGGTGTTTACATATCTCAATTGATACGTTATTCTCGTGCTTGTTCACACTATACGGACTTCATATACAGGAGTGTGCTCCTTACACAGAAACTGCTCCGACAAAGTTAGGAGGAGGACAGATTAAAAATGACACTCCGTAAATTTTACGGACACCATCACGAATTGCAATTGGTTAGTCCATACGATGTGTCTTTGTCCAAACTAACTAAGGACATTTTTACCACGTGTTAGATTGTTGTTTGTCATTACGTCGTCTGATCTTTTAATTACCGAACGTGACTTATTCCCGATTGTGACTGTTTTGCTGAGTGTGAAACCGCATTGCTATAAGACGTGTCACGGTACCTTTTTATCCCAAATTCATGTATTTAATTTTGATGTTATATTTGTTATTCTCGTCGGATTTTGTCAAATGTCTTAACGTCTTTTCTGTTATATTCATGTGTTATGGTAAAGATAATTAATCACCCCCTTCATTTATTAGATTTTAGTTTGGTTCAACGAAATTTATACGATATATTTGGTTTACAGTTTGATTCAGAAGAAACACCGACATAGCTAGATAATACAATTAATTATCTAATTACAACCACAATTTGATAATAAGTATTGTAATTTTCATTGTTATTAATAAATGTAATGGCAGTATTACAAATCTAATCTTGAATCAATCCTAATCCTATCTTATTTTTGGGAAATATTTTTAGAATTTCAAATGTGACGTCACTTTGTGCGTTGATGCTTTGGCTAACTCGACTGTGTATTTTCATATGTTGAATTAAGTTGTTTTATGTAATGTATCCGTTTTTATCCTGTAGTTAATCCCGACTTCGGTTTTATCATGTATATCTATTATATAGTCATTTTATAAAATTTACTGCTTGCAAAATTATAAATTATTCTAAATAATAAGGATGTTCTCGTCCCAGGCAGAAAACCCTGGCCGTGTTAGGCGCAACATTTTGGAAGTTTTGGTCCTCGGTGCTCTTCGGCTTTGTTTTTGTTTTGGCTTTCAAGCTTTTTTTCATCTGAGCGTCACTAGATGGTCTTGTGTGGACGAGACTCACGTCTGGCGTATTGAATTTTAAGCCTAGTACCTTTTGTTAGCTATTATTCGTGTGTTTCTTTGTCCTATATGTTCTCCCATTTATTTGTATTGTGGTCCTGTCATGTGATGTTGTCGTTTTGGTGTTGTGTTTGACGTTGCCATTAAAGCGGGAGGCTTGGCATGCCACAAAACAAGGTTCAACCCACCATTTTTTTCTTAAAATGTCCTGTGCCAAGTCAGGAAAATGGCCATTGTTATATTATAGTTCGTTTCTGTGTGTGTTACATTTTAATGTTGTGTTTTTGTTGTGTCGTTGTTCTCCTCTTATATTTGATGCGTTTCCCTCAGTTTTAGTTTGTAACCCGGATTTGTTTTTATCTCTATCGATTTATGAGTTTCGAACAGCGGTATACTACTGTTGCCTTTATTCATGATATCAGCCCAAGAGCCGCAGGCTGGAGGGCTGATTTCATGAACGAGAGCCGATGAAGGGTCTGATATGAAAAATGACTTGAAATGATCTTTTTATCATATACTTCAGCAGAAGAAATACTATTAAAATTTTATCTTTCTTTGAACTTTTAGATAATAATTTACAGACAACCAAATAGAAATTTCTCAACTTTTTTTAATTGTTTTTATTGATATTTCAAGCATTTTATTTATATTGTGCAATATCACAACAATTATCATGTTCTTAGTTTGAAAAAAATTATTGTCAACTTTCCTCTGAAAACATTTGCATAGTTTTTCCTTTATAATTGTCGCATCTCATTTATGCCTGAAGTTGTTGGGGCTGAAACCTGTCTAGAGTTGGACTCAAAATTTGATATATCTTTTAAAACATGTTTAATCTTAATTCATTGTTGCTCCTCAACCATTATGTGAAAAGTCTTTTAATCACTTGCGGTTTTCCGCACTGTGTTGTCGTTTTTCAAAGACTCGACAAACCCTGCCGTGTCGTCTTCCATGTTTACAAACAAATTTCCGGAAATGCACGAAGTTGCATGTGATAAACGTCACGGAAAATAACAGAAAGGCATTTGATAACATTCCGGAAGCAGTCAATAAAGGTTGGTTTATCAGCCCGCCTAGGAAATTCTTAGGAATCGGGTTAATAAACATAGTAATCCTTTCATAGCCTTTAAATATCTTTTAATGTTATTGAACTGTAAAAGTTAAGTAATATTTTATACAAGTATGATTGTCGTCTGTTTATGTAGTTTATACGTGTTTCTCGTTTTTATATAGATAAGACCGTTGGTTTTTCCGTTTGAATGGTTTTACACTAGTAATTTTTTGGGGCCCTTTATAGCTTGCTGTTCGGTGTGAGCCAATGCTCCGTGTTGAAGGCCGTACCTTGACCTATAATGGTCAACTTTTATAAATTGTAACTTGGATGGAGAGTTGTCTCATTGGCACTCATACCACATCTTTCTATATCTATATATGATAACTGCTTATATCCATTTATTTGAACTGGTGGATAGTTGTCTCATTGACAATGATACCACATCTCCTAATTTTTATACGTTATACAATCTATTTATAAAGCAGATTTCACCAAAATCTCAAATGACAACTGTTGTTCGAAATACTTCTTTTTTAATTCGATCTTGAATTGGCGTATTTTAAAATATTTAAATTATGCACTTCTCTTTTACACATGTCATGCACGTTGAAAATCATTTATACAGATAATAACACCGATGTCAAAATATATGATAACTGAAATTAAAAGGGACCATTTCTAACATGTCTCCGTTTTCGTTTGATTTTGTCGGACTTCCCTTTTTTATATACCTTGGAGTTCAATATTTTTATTTATACTTTTTTCACTACCAAGAGTCGGTTCTGCTTTTGTAGATTATCAATCATAGATGGCACGATTTAAATGATACATTTTTATCTTTAATAACGAGTTAAAACTTATTACGAAATTGTGTTAATATCCTAAGTTGAAACTTCGTTTAGGATGATGGTATTCTAGTTTTATTACATTTTGTAAGATATTCTGATTCCTTTACTTTTATCAATGTAATGCCAATAAAACATTGCCTAACTTTTCTTAAAGAAAAAAGGTGCTAATTTTATATGTATGAAAAATCTAGAGAGAATCATTTCCCCGCCAAATTTTCAAATGAGTTTTATTTTAAAAACAAGGACAGGGACCTGTCATTATTTTCTACTTTTTAAGTTCCGTTATTTATATAATATCAATTCATGACAGTCTTTTAGAAATCTTGTTATTTTGAAACAGAGGAGCGAACATCCTTTATACACGGTGTTGGTTGTTTTATATAGGCTTCTTTTGTAATTATGTTGTGACATGTTTTTCAATAATTTTGGCGAATTCGTATCAATTAAAGAATATTTCCGAAACTTCCGTGTTGTGAGCAGAGCATGGAAATTATAATACTTACGTTTTTATTTCCAAAAATGGCATTTTGAGATATGAAATAAGTTAACACTTTAAATTTAACAAAGTGCATTTCGTCGAAAGAGATAAAATGAATGTATTTTTGTCAGAACATAAATATTCAAGTCTATATGTTTAATATTATTTGTTAACAGGTATAACCCAACATTGGCGAAGAAATATGTACAAATGTACATGCAATATATCATATCAAACAAATTGTATTTGCAATGTTGTACGACGACGTTATTTCATCAAAAATCCAAGTTTTCCATTGTTTATTGATGATGTATACATCTGGTTATGTCTTAGAAGAGAGACTGTTTATTCACGAAACAGGTATTGTTTGCACTGAAATCGATATCATTCTTTTTTTTCGCAATTCATATAGACACTGCTGAAAAGAAATTTCACTTTGAGATGACCCTTTAAAAATGTTACCTGTCCGAGTAGTCATAAGTATCGAGACTAATTAGTTAACGTAAAATAATTTGAGCTATTACTTTTACTATTCTACTGGAACGTTTTATTATATCAAATGTGAATGGCAGTGGTGTTTATTTTCGTGTGTATCGTTTTACAGATTTAAATAAGAAAACGTAAGTAAAAAAGACCTGTGTACGAAATGAAAGTTATGCGATATATATTTTTTGTGGTTTTTTAACGTATATATCTGACTTGTAACAAAATTGTTATAACCTTTTTACGTTCGGAATGCATTCAGCCAAAACATAAATAGTATATCAGTTTGGTCTTGGCAACTTTCAGTTCTAAAATATGACGAAGAATGTGTTCACTCTCGCGTTTAGTGACTTTTAATGACTTACAACTTGATCGATTCCGTTCCGTAAAAATATAAAAATCAGACGGGTCGTAAAATGAAAATAAAAGTGACAAACAATAACCCAACTATCCTTCAAAGAACAACTAAACTTATATTCGGCTCAAAATGCCCATAAATAGCAAAGGGGAAACAATTAAAAAGATACAATTAATTTAAGGTGCATTAAATGAAAACAAATCACTTTATGCCAAAAACAATTACAACTTGCAATGGACTACGGGCTCCTTACTTGGGAGAAACACATAAAATATGTGACAGCATTGAACATCTTAAGTTTGTGCGATCAGCTCAGTCATCATTTTTACATATGCATTGATATAACAGCAAAACAGTGGTGAATATTGAAAAAAGCAAATTAAACGGAAAGACTTTTTAGATTTTCAATCGTCACAAAACAACTTTATTGGTGTCTTTTTCGAATTTAACTTCAATTCTTAATTAGGTACTTCTTTTTAATTAGTCATTAGTCCAAATAACCATCTTATTTTCAGAAATGAAGCGCTAACAATAACATTCCTTAGAAGTTTATAGATTTAAATCGTTAAGAATATATATATTTAAACATTATCTTACGAACTTACACGTATTATTGGTTAAATATACTGACATTTCCGTTAAATGGAAATGAAATATAAATCTAATGGAACTTAATTTTGGCTACATGTAAAAGTGATATTTGGAATAATAGTACTGTAACATTTTACAAAAGTTTTCGACGTTCCAGTTGTTTTCCATTCGTTTGATGTGTTTGAGCTTTTGATTTTGCCATTTAATAAGAAACTTTCCGTTATGAACTTTCCTTGGAGTTCGGTTTTCTTTTTTTTGGGGGGGGGGGGGGGGGAGGGGGTGGGTGTTTGTTATTTTACATTATGCATGTTTTATGTACTGTAGAACATGTTTAAAATTCTGAAAGGTTTTGCTAAATACAACCAGGGTTATATATTCCTGGGTTACAACATCCTTAGTATTTCGAAAAATTCAATGTTTTGTAAACAGTTAGTTTATAATCATGACCATATCAAAGATAATTCATGTCAACACAAAATTACTGACGACTGGGCTCAAGCTCGTCCCTACATCAAATTATAGTGGCATGATTTGGAATACAGTTAAAGCATTAAATTTTGAAATATGTAATCTTATTGGTTTTGCAGAATATATTTACAATCAATTACTTAGTAACCTATTTTCTAAGCAGTGACTCACTTATATGATAGAGCAGAAAGGAATTTTGTAAAATAGAATTGACTTTATCTCTTTCCCTGCCCGAGTGAAGAAGATCCCGTCCTAATTCATAATACAGAGAATCAAGACTTTAACATTATGTAAAGTCTAGTAACAATTCGAGCTACTTCGTAATGTAAATAATTAGTCAAAGTGCTTTGTACACAATCATTTCACATTTTACGCATGATACAATAGGGGAAATAAATATGCTCCAAGTCGTATCTGTGTAGATTTAGCACCAATTTCCCTTGTTGAATATGTTTTCAATGTGACAATTCCATTTACAGTTAGCACATAAATTACATCATATCGTGCAATTTTATTTGATTTATTTTTTGTAGATCTTTGTTCAACTAAGCAATATACAAAGTTTGACCTGCAAACAGCTTTAAAGAGTAGTAGAAGTAGTATCTACGATTTCGTTAATGCATACTAAATAAGTTCGACGTATGAATTATAAACTGCTTTTTTTTATTTAAATGAAATGTTTACAGGCACACAACTTGCTATTCATAAATATAAAATCAATGTATTATAATATGAACAAATTGCTAGTCGATAAAATTTGTTTGTGTGTTTAACAACATATAACATAGTAATGGCATGCAACATCCATATCAAATTACCATAAATTAGTCGTTAAACTATTTCTGAGAAACGAATACTAATACTCCTGTAACTCGTACATACTTGATTGAACATTACAATGTGTCAATTCTTATACAATAATAACGAATATTACATATTTTTTATTAACATTTGTTCTTTTGTCTATTGTTTTGTGAAAACGTTTTGATAGGGGATCGGAGACAGTCCAAATTTTTTATATATTTATTAAAATTTTCAAACTTACTCCATTATTAGTTTCAATTAATAAACAGTGATTTAACATCATATAGTGCATAGTTTTGACGACAAGGAATAAACTCATTATAGATACCAGGATTAAAATTCTGTACGCCAGACAACAAAAGACCCATGAGTGACGCTCGAACCAAAAAAGTTAAAAGGGCCAAATAAAATACGAATTTGAAGAGAATTGAGAACCCAAAATTCCGAAATGTTTTGCCAAATATAGATTAGGTAATCTATTAAGGAAGATACATTAGGACAAGTGTAAGGAGGTCACCCTTGAGGGCAGATAAGAACTAATCTGATAAATTTAGGCAACAGTAGTTTACCGATGTTCAAATCTCATAAATTGATTAGACAAATCAATGTAATAAACAAAAACTGAATGAATGAGATAGACGACCTTTGAATTGATGCTGAACATGTATAGGTATTGCGCAAAAGGCAGACGTACGTTAAGATCGAAACCTGACAAGGCAGGTTTGTTGCTTTATATCAGGTTTGCCTATCTATGTATAACTTCCGCTTACCAACCGAAACCTATATATATATATATATATATATAAGTGCCTATAAATAGCAGCACATGACATACAAATCTATGGGAGTGTGGATTAATCAGTACAGAGATTAATTCAATTACACAAATAAAATTATAGATTGCCTAACAATGTAATTTTAACACACTATTTAGTATGTAAATATAAGAATGTTTAAAATATTTACAAAATGATGAAAATAAACGCAATATTTCGCTAGACTAACTAGCTTTATCAAGCGTGCATCTATCCAGGTGAAATCGGATGTAGATGATAAGAAACTTTTGCAGCTCAATGTATATGTTGCACTTGAATTTAGCTGCCTTGAAAATAATACATAATTTGGATGAAGTTCAAGATTTTTACAAAATTGGTAGTTGAAGTTAGCAACGTCCATTGGCCAATATTACAGGATAAAAAGGACGATGCTGTGTACTAAATTATTCTTTATCTTTCCTGTATCTTTTCTCATCTTTTTCGTTAAGACCATCAGGTTCTAAAGTGTGGAGTTGGTGGATCCAAAGGAGAAGGAAGGAGAAGAGAAAATTTTTGGATCCACCAACTCCACACTTTAGAACCTGATGGTCTTAACGAAAAAGATGAGAAAAGATACAGGAAAGATAAAGAATAATTTAGTACACAGCATCGTCCTTTTTATCCTGTAATATTGGCCAATGGACGTTGCTAACTTCAACTACCAATTTTGTAAAAATCTTGAACTTCATCCAAATTATGTATTATTTTCAAGGCAGCTAAATTCAAGTGCAACATATACATTGAGCTGCAAAAGTTTCTTATCATCTACATCCGATTTCACCTGGATAGATGCACGCTTGATAAAGCTAGTTAGTCTAGCGAAATATTGCGTTTATTTTCATCATTTTGTAAATATTTTAAACATTCTTATATTTACATACTAAATAGTGTGTTAAAATTACATTGTTAGGCAATCTATATATATATATATATATATATATATATATATATATATATATATATATATATATATATATATATGATTAACGGAAACTTAAATTATATCCCAAATCAAAAGGAATAAAAGACTTCTCTACATTAGTCCGTCCATATGTCCATCCGTTCGCCCATTCTATGAAATTTTCGTCGCATTGTTCTCATGAACTATAAATCAGAGCTTACTGAACTTTGGTGTCAAGCTTCATGTGAGCATTCTATAACGTATGAGACGTTTTCATATCCTCCGCTCATCAACTTCCTGTAAATCGAACATTTATATGATCTGTCGCATGATGGCCATATCTACGTTTGTGTAATGTTTTTTCTCAAGAACTACAAATAAGAGCTTCCTGAAATTTAGTATCCAGCTTCATATGAGCATACTTAACTGCTTGAGGTGTTTTCATATCTATTAACTCCCTCTTTTTCGAATACTTATAATGGGATATTAGAATCATGTGCAAAACAGTGTAGCCGAGACCATTGATTGGCGCGCTAAAATATCCAATTGACTGGGTCAGATTAGGTGAACGTTCGTCTGTAACGCCCACAACTCACGACGTATTTATTATAGACATTTAAACTGTGGGGTCACCAAAGGGTCTCAACGCCTAAATAAAATAATTCGAAAAACTAATCAGGAATAACCTTTGTGTTTTGATTTATATTGAATACTTAAACGTTCTTTACTTGTGTTTTTGTTATGTTTTGATAATGAATTTTTATGATATCGGACGTTCTTTCAGCAAAAAAGGATTTAACTGGCTTTAAAAGTTACAATGGATGTGTTGATTATTATCTTTTTTTCGGACGTCAAAGCGATTTAACAATTGCGGTTGTCCAATTATGTCATCTTTTAACTTTTATCTGGTCAAAATTTTATTTTAGAACGAATGCATGATCAACTTTAAAAAGTGTGCAAACACAAAACATATAGACAAAATATACTTCTTTCCTGTCTTTTTCGTACTTGCAAGTTATTAGACAGTAAAAAGGCTATTTGGATCAAGCCTTGTGAAATTTGCATTTACGTTTTTGAATAGGTACAGTCAAGTTTAGCGATTGATAATTTATTGATAACATTCTGGCGTATCACAAACAAACAACTTGTAACGTCTCATTTCATTGGCCGAAAGATTTAAATACAACAACAATTGTAGTGTGCACGTGAATTGACACAGGTGACCGACAATGGAATGTACTACGTTACTACGAACGTAAAAAACAATGATTTTGGTCGAAATAATTAAATAAGTATTTTGTGAATTTCAAATAGTGGGGTCGAAATATTATACTAATAATTTGTGTTAAGTAATATTCTTTATGCATGCAGCACTTGTACCGTACTATGAAAAATATAAGGATAAAATAAAATACATGTGCCGCTTTTATACGGATGAATGTATGAACCACTTTAATTTCTTTCATATTGACGCTAGGTTATTATCCTGACAATTTCGTAGTTACTTTTAATAAGGATTTCATAATACTGATCCATTTCAAATTTATGATGGGTTGCACATTCCTCTTTTATTGTTTTCATGCTATAAAACGAAAATAAAGTAGCTAAGCGTTTGGTCATTCAGAAATGACGTGTCATAAACGAGCAAATTGTCCCCGAAAGATCGTATCATGTGTGCACGTGAATATAGATGTACTATGCAATGTACTATCATGGTCACCACGAAATTAAAATGAATTCAGTGAAGGCATGTTGGTGTAAAAAGGTTTGAAATGTTTCATCAGCGAAGATTTTATTTTTGCATGTGTGGAACTAAAAAATAAATAAATACTTGTGAGAAATGTCGTAGTTTGTAAGGAACTATATAAATGTACTGTTTTCGATTTTAATTGGTTGAAAATTTATCCTTTAATTTCATACCGTAAGTATAGAGCTTTGCATAACATTGTTGAACTATCCGCCAAAGTAACGTGTGGCATGCGTGCGTATTAAAATGAAATACAAAATCATACATGTATGATAAACTTATAAACGAAATATTAAGAAATTAAGGATGACTACTGTAAAAGTATGTACAAAAATGGAGTCACCTTTTATCAATACATTTAGTAAATAACCACACTGTTTAAAACTGATTGTTTTCTATGCAACTATTTAAATATTTACAATATATAATTTTCAACCGAGGATAGCAAAACAGTTAATTATAAATTAAGACAGTATATCGCTGGAGTTTATAAAGTACATTTCCTTCCACTGTGCCATGGTTTGCCATCTCCATTTTTTCTCTAAACAAAGCATGGCTGGTTACATGTTCTGAATTTACTTCGAATTTCGGGATTTTTTTTTCAAAATCAAGTAAACTAAATCAGAAAAAAATCATACTATCCTAAAACTTATGGAAGAATATGAATAATGAACATGACAGTTTATAACACAAACCCATTTACTATAAAAATCGAGCAATATCTTTAGTATGTAATTTGGTTATTTTTGTAGTTAAGTACGGTTTCGTTTCAAGTACAACGTTAATTCATCAAGTCCATTGGATAAAAGGGTGAGCAACTTGACAAAAAAAAGGCAGGATGACGATTTATGTAAAAAAATCAGGATAAACTAATAAATATAGTCAGGACCTAACAGACTGAAAAATAGAAAGACAGGACAGAGATAACAACTAAAAAAAATGCAGGACAAAATGTTTCATCCAAGTCCCCCACCCCCAATCAAAATAAAATGGTAGCTCCCTTAATCCAGAACCAATTGAGAGGAGACAGTTGAATTAAATATTTCGACGTGACTGTTAAGATTAAAGTTTAAAATTTTACATGCACATGTATAAAAGCTAGAATTGCCATGGGATAATCAAGAACACAATCATGTACGTGAATACGACGTAGAGTTTTTAACGACCTTGACCGGCTACGTGAATACTGATCAGTCCATTCAGCTTTATAGTACGCGTGTTCTATTTTCGCAGGTGTGAGGTCGAAGGTTTGAATTGACCAATGAAAACGATCGTTCCTTAACGAGTTAATCTAATAAAGTTTGTTTGACTGATTATGTTGCACGACCTTTCGCTAAGCTTGGCCGCAGTTCAGTATACAATGTATAGTTTGATGATCTTTTCTGCTAACTACTATACTTGTGAAAAACCCTTGGCAACAGAAACATATTCAGCTTTTTTTTTAATCGACCCAATTTACATAGTAATGGACGACTTCGTACATTTTATGATCGCAAATAAAATATGTATATAATATATTGTGCACTGTAGTACGTATATATACTGAGACCCTTTGGCAACCCCACAGTTTAAATGTTTATAATAAATACGTCGTGAGTTGTGGGCGTTACAGACGAACGTTCACCTAATCTGACTCAGTCAATGGGATATTTTAGCGCGCCAATCAATGGTCTCGGCTACACTGTTTTGCACATGATTCTATTAGTCACAAATAGCTCACAGTTGATTATGTTTAATATTGCAACCGATATGCCTTATAAAATTAAGGAGATGTAGTATGATTGCCAATTAGACAACTATCCACCAGGGTTCAAATGACGTGAATGTTAGCAATTATAGATCACCGTTTTTTCATATTTTGATTTACGATGAGTTATTCCCCTGTAGAACAGAGTTTTGGTACTAATATGATTTATAAAAGATACTTATTTGAAATCCTCGTTCCTAAATTCAGAAATTTAAAAAAGAAATAAGAATCCAACTCCCTCAGGGAAAGTTGACCTTAGATGAATTTAGCTATTCTGTTTATGTTTTTTTTGGTCATATAGCTCGTTACGTTTTAGCATTTTTACATATTCATGGCTTTTAAATGTTTAGGTTTGAGCGTTTTTGGTGAAGGAGAATCCAGAAAAGCACTTCGAATGCATGAAGTTTATCTATTGTTTATCTCATTTTCTTGCACTGGGTCGATACCGTTGCTGGTGGACTGTTAGTCCTCGAGGGTATTATCAGCTCAGGAGTATGTGCTTCAGTTTTGACATGATTTATAAAATATACTTATTAAGATAAATGCTTCGACCCCGTGAAGATACGAAATCTGCCATACCGTGCGACACATTTCATTTCGAAACAAAAGTAACTTTAAAACCAAAAGGTTTTGACTGGGAAGCTGGCAATATTTCTCATACTTACACATGAATTAACTTTAATTTATAGAAATATGTGGAATCGGACCCTGTGATTGAATTTCATCCAGAAACGTGCATTATAAACGGTCTCAGAATTTTTGATCGTATCAACGTACAATGAGTGTTTGAGAAAAAAGAGCAATATGGACGTCTGTTTTGATTGCGGTAAATTTGTAATTGATCAGTTCCTTCCGTGCAATTTATGATTTTGTACTAACTTCTCTCAAAAAGGAAAATACTTCACTTTTTTATTCCTGGATTTTCTTTTTCTTACATTTATCTCCAAAGCCGCCACCCCGTATCATTCATAGCCAACGAATGTGTCGTTCTACACGTTAATATTTGGTTTTTTTTGTGATTTGCAATAACTTTTTATGAAAGCAGTTCATGTGTGATTATAGAATTGTTGGAATAGAGGGAAACATTAAAATATGTTAAAAAATGATTAAAGTAGAAAATATATATATATATCTATTTTGACAGGTCTGTGAAAAATAAATTATGGCTTCTTCACGTGAATCTGGATTTGCAATGTATGAGATGAAACAGGTATGCTAAATATGTTTACATTTTCATCTGTATCTTTTAATCCAACGTAATCTTGGACATAAAGTAAATTTGAAAAATTGGTACTATTACAATTTTAACAAAAAAGTAAAACGACAAAAATACCGAACTCCAAGGAAAATTCAAAACGGAAAGACCTTTATCAAATGGCAAAATCAAAAGCTCAAACACATTAATAGAATGGAAAACAACTGTCATATTCCTTACTTGGAACAGGTATTACCTTATGTAGAACAACAATCAAGCACAAACATGTAATTGACGAACAAATGAGGTGACCAATCAGTAAGATCAAAACCAAAATTCTAACGAAAATAGGATCATTCAGCTGTCAACCCATGTGCCCGTTCATTGCATATATTATACTCAGTCTTCTAACAGTTAACATTAGTTCATTACTCTTAGATCCATGATGAATATAAACAAAGCAGGGTGAAATATTGTATCGGCAGAATAAATGTCTCCTGCTATGCAAGCATCATCAGCCATGTGAATCTGCAGTCAGTCAAAATGTCACGTTAGCGAATAAGACACAATTAGAAAGTTGAAAGGTCAGACAACTATTCTTGTGTCATAAGATCTAAGATTAAAGACTTGCTGGTGAGAGCCGACTTATTGTTTAAATCAGATTTTTCGTCAGCGGGCTCTTGCAGGGGTTGTGGGAACAAACGATGTCAGACTTGCAAGCAAATACTGAATACCAAGATTTTTAACAGTCACTCCACTGGTACGAAATACACCATATTTTGAACCACAAATACTGTGTATCTTCTACAATGTAAATGTGGTAAACAGTATGTTGGTGCGTCTGAACAGCTATTTCAAAAACGTATGAACGGCCTTCATAGTAACTATGGATGTAAGACAGACGTTCCTCTCAGTCGACATTTGAGATCCACTGATCACACTGAGGCTGATCTAATTATATTGGTTATTACCATCATTGACAACTACACTGCTTGGTAACGGGAAGAAAGAATCACTCAGGAAAGATTTTGAATCAGAAAATTAAAAACTCTGGCACCAAATTAGATTAATGAAAAGGTGTAGTTCAAATCGCTAACCGTAGCAACTGAATGTGTTATTTTCATTTTGGGATATATAAATACGCAGCCTCTTTTGTTAATATTTAATTTGCGTGAACTTTGAAATTCTAGAATTATACGAGCATGGTTTGGTTTTTAATTTGTATTTCGTTCAAGATTGTTTTTAGTATAAGAAGAATAAATTGATAAGATTCATTTTACATCATACTGATGAAGGATATCTGTTATCCGAAATACTTGATACTTGTGTTTACTGTTTCCTTTTTACAAATTGGCGTTATAATGTACACTTTTTATGCGTAAATATATATATATATACTTATTATAAAACTAAAGTTCGAAATGCACTACAAGTCATTTGCTTAACTGCACTTATCTCCAACCGGTTTCACAACTTTTGGGTAATCATAAATGATAATGTAAATGAATTCAACGGTGCCGTAACGTCGATGTCTCTATGTTTTTCTGGTTTATTTATGTTATAGTAGTAATACAATGTTTGGGGTGACTGCAACTTGTTGTTTATCCGTACACAGTTTTAGGTCAAATATGCGTACTTTTCTTTGGCATAGTGGTAGTTTTCTGACTGTAATGAAGGGTTCGGCAATTTCATGAATTAATATTGTTGATAGAAAGATACATATAAATTGTATGTAACTTGAGGTTTAAACTTTGTTTTACGTCAACATTGGGAAGAACTTGGAAAGATGTTGATGAAGAAACGTGTTGAATTTTTGTGCAATTTCCAAACTGTTCTGAAGTAATTTGTCATTTGCTGCATCAACATAATAAATGTTATGACTATTTCTGTATTAGTACCTCAGCTAATGAACTTTAAGTAGCAAAAGATTTTACAAGATAAGTTTACAACGTAAATTGCTATCGAAATATGTACAATAAACTGGTAGAGACAACATTGTTGCATTCGATCGTTTTGCTAATAATGTTAATCTCCATCTGACAAAGCTGATTATGTAATTGTACATGCTCATTTGTCCGTTTAGATGTTGATATAGAAACTACTTGAATAAAAGTTTAAATATTGAGTATCTGATTTCTTGTAGCAAAAAATATAATTTATAAATATTGGTTCTTTCTCTTACCTTCTATTTTGCAAATTGAAAAAAATCAGTTTCTGAGATAGGAGCTTTCAATATTTCTTTCTCATCTTCGCTAAAAACGCAATCTAAATTTGTATTTGAATATGTCATTTTATTGTATATTCTTCTCTCATCAGGAAATATAGCTTTCTCTCTTTCAAATTTTATTGAACAATTGAAACATGAATACGTATTTGAATATTATTATGAATTGTTATGCTTTCAAATTCAATTCAGCGAATATCTAATTACGTCTTGTCGATTTTCACATTTTTTGTATGTTGTTGGTGACCAACCTATCGCGAGATTATTAACATTTTGCCTCAGATCTCAGTTATTTTGACTGCTTTCTTTGAGGAAGTCAAATTGAATTTGAAAACAAAAATGCGTTGGTTCAATCATTAAACAAATCACCTGCTAATAGAACCTAAGTATAATAGCATTAAAAACTATAAACGTCTCCCAGTGAAATGTATTCCTGTTCATTTTTGTAAGCCCTGTAAACATGAAAAAGATACGATTTGGATCCTAAATAATTTCTACTTTACTTTCACTTTATCCAAATCGCAACTTCCTCTATCAACAATCATGTGTTCAACATGTTTTACTTATTCAATATCAATGTAAATTTTACAACCATTTACACAGTTTACTTTCAGAAAAAATAGAAGCAACGAAATACTCCAAAAAAATAATATAGTTATTTATCTTACCTCCTATACATTTCTAGGAATATGATTGGTTAAAAGCAACCGCGTGGAGACCGTATATATTCCATATTGGGTTATTAGGCGGGGCTTATTTCAATACACGGTTAGTAGTGGTGTTACGTCCCTTTATAAAACAACACGGTGTTGAGGAAAAATCTGAAAGGTTTCAACAGACGAAGAAATTGATGATGAACGATTGAAATAAATTCAAAAACCACATTTAAATCTAACAAGTTGTTATTGTTGGCATTTGTTTTTGTATAGACCAATGGAAGTAGGTTCTTAATACTAACGTTATTGAAGACTTGATAGGCCACTAGTCTAAATACCACATGATAAGATAGTCGGTAAGATAAATTCGTTACATAGTGTGCTAGTGACCTAATACGATATATATGGGATCAGTAAATTCCATATATATCGTATTAGGTCACTAGCACACTTCGCTCTCACCCCATATGGAATTTACTAACTCCATATATATCGTATTAGGTCACTAGCACACACTATTAATATTCGTACCAAATACAAAGAGGATTAGTTGTAGTCGTTATCCTTTTCATCAGCATATTGAATCTGTTTGGTTGAAAGACGCTTATAGACAGTAAACTATAAAAGAGAGGCGGTAGATACCAAAGAGATATTCAAATTCATAAGTCGAAAGCGAACTGACAATGCCATGGCAAAAAACGAAAAACGACCGAAAGACAAACAGCAGTACACAGAAGGTATAGTGTCCGGCTGGGATCGTGTTTTTTCGAGTGATTTGATCGGGTTTTTTTCAGTGTGACCACGTTTTTTCGAGTGAATATGATCAATAATGTAAACAAACAGACATCTCTTTTTGTAAGACATAAATAGATGCTTAAACTTAATATACAACATCATACAAGGTAAGTTAGTATTGGTGATAAAAAGAAATCATCACCCCTACATTATTTTTCTGTTCTAAAAGTTTAATTTAGCTTTGCAATGCTTGTATCCCAAAATATAGAATAAAGCTATTGTTATTCAAGTACCAATGCAAATGTCAAATAAGGGACTTATCATTTTTTATCTGGGAGGGGGGGCTGGTCAAAATGCAAGGGGGTCAAGTTTTTTCCTGTATGTGGAAAAGGGGGGTTCAAATTTTTTATAAATTCAAAGTGGAGGGATCAATATTTTTTGCACATGGAAATTAGTATTAGTAGTTCATATACTTCAAGAGACAAAATATGAAGAAGAACATTATAAAACAGTCAAATCGAAAATATATCTTTAACACCATTCATATACAATTAAGTAAGACATCACAAGACTTTGGTGATGTAGGAAGCTGCCATTTTGTGTCATTTTATCCCATATAAAATCCATAGGTGCTTCATAATCCGAATTATTCAGTCGTTATATTTCACTCACTTCGATCACTAAATTGACAAGCATTACGGCCAAGTTTTTTTATAATCAGCTTAATAGTTTGAGAGAAATTAAGTATAAATTAAAACGAAATCTGCATGCAGCGATTTGTGCAAAATTTTGTCCAAAAATACAAATCATGCCGCATCATGAAAGAATATAGTGTAGAGCAATATCTTCTCCAGTAAATGATTAAATATTGCATACAAACAGTTGAATATTGATACAAAAGATGATACTGAGATGATGAACAACCCTTATGTATCTTTTTGTTTTCATTACAAGATCCCTTTGACTCCATTTATACCTCACACTCCCTCAAAATTTGTACTTTTAGGCTAATAAATCTAAGCTAGTTCATAGCCAGTTAAACCTAATCAATAAATCATGTTTTCCCAGACTAAAGGATCAAGCAGTACAATGTCAGATTGAGACGTACGTACATTGTGTGTGTTAAGCGGGTATGTGTATTTCTTTAACAGAAAACACATCCTAGATGTTTCAACTGTTAATTATGATAAATGGTAATTTGTTTTATCGTTCTATGAATTGAAAAAAAGAACAATTTTCAAATGCTACTACTATGATGAGGAGTATGATCAAGCGTATGTTATACTTGGTCACACAGCAATAAAACACCATGATAGCTTCCTTTCCATCAGTTAGCAGTGCTTTAAAAAATGAAAAATACGGATCTCTATCTAGACATTACAATTACTAATGTGTATCCACGAAACTCTGCGAAAGATATGAATTAATTACACAAGGTGTGCGCTATTGTATACGCATTATTTATTATCATTTCTAAAGCTTATAGATTGTATATTTCATTGTTTATTACATATTCCATTCAATTCAAAAAAAGTTGTCTATAGGAAATGGTACAGGGGAGGAATTAGTGGGGTTTTTTTTTGTTTTTTTTTTGTTTGTTTGGTTTTTTTTTTTTTTTTTTTTGGGGGGGGGGGGGGGGGGGGGGGGGGGCTTGCAATTAGCTGGTGCCAGGCCTCTCTTAGAAGAATATTTGTGGTATATTACATTTAACTGATTTATAACTTCTGTCCCTTTGTTTTCTTAACCCTATTTTTAAAAATCCAGGTTTCGCCTCTGTTATATATATATATCATAAACTATTATTTACTGTACAAAATATTGAAGCATGAAATGATATTTGAGTCCCCTGTTCTCGGTTCTAAAGACAGTTTTACAAAGAATCTAGTAATTTCTAATATATCTAAATACTGCAGGGTTATGGTAAAATGATTTCAGAACAGAAAATTATTTATAAACTAGAAAATTCAGTTTTTAAGCCCAAGAATGCCTTCTTTCTTATTAACATTTTCTTTGAAAAACCCGGACGTTTAATGTTGCTCTCGAAAAAACACGGACAATGTAAAACACTGAATTATTAGTGAACTACAACGAAATAGTGCGTCGTTTGTGCTCAAAACATGTTTAGTTTTCAGAATAAGATGATCGGTCATCATAATATGATAGTTTATTCATGACCGATCATCTTATTCTGAAAACTAAACATGTTTTGAGCACAAACGACGCACTATTTCGTTGTAGTTCACTATCCTGTCCAGTTTTTTTTCCGAGTGATATTACATGCGATCAGATCAGTTTACTGCTATTTCGCATATATTCGGATTCACTCGAAAAAACACGATCACCGCCATACAATATACCTACCGTGAGTTTAAAACACATAACAAAGAATAATAAATACTGAACAACATATGTGACACATGTCGTGTTGCTCATGTAAGTGCTTATTTGGTGATAAGTCTAATTCGGAAGGTCATATTTGAGGAAAAGAGGATTGGATTGTGGTTATGACAGTTGGAACATATCCGTCTTAATCGATAAAACAGATGTTGTATAACGGTTAATCAACTCGTTACGGCGTTTGTCAAATTTTCAAAGGGGTGACTTCAACCACTACTTAGAACTCTTGGTTTAATAGCTTCTGTTAAGCAGCAATCCTCTATTGATGAAATCGTAATTGGAAATACAAGCTTTGGAATATCGTATAAACTGGGCGATATATAAACCATATGTAGGCTTTACTGAAATGTTTCTACATAAAAATTTAATGTTCACAACTTGGAAGATGAAATCTACGGAAGCGTATTAGGGCCATCCTTTTTTATTTTTTTATTTTTTTTCAAATTGTCGACTTTAATCTTGGAATTATCAACTTTAATCTTTGAATTTCCAACTTTAATCATGGAATTGTCAATTTTAATCTTGGAATTATCAACTTTTATCTTTGAATTTCCAACTTTAATCATGGAATTATCAATTTTAATCTTGGAATTATCAACTTTATCTTGGAAATGACTGATATTTTACTTCTAGCCCATAGTTTATTTTGTTTCTCCGTATATTTTATCTACTTAAAATTATTTTCGCGGCTCAATGTTTTGTAAAATGCTAAAGAAAAATAGACGTGTATCTAAAGTCTCGTATAGCTTCAAGTAGCTTATATCCATGAAAGGGGGTTTGTAACTTCCTATCAATGTTATACGTGGATATGCCAAAAATATGGGTCATAATTTTGCGAGATTTTATATATCTGACACTACTTTTTAATGACATTCTATATTGATATGCATTGTTCTTTCATAACTTTATATTGATTTGGGGTATGTTCTACATATCTTATATAAATATGCTATTGGAAATCTTATATTAATGGCCAATTGCGGTATTTAAATCAATCATGGACTTTATATTTAGTAAATATAAAGTCCTTGAATCTATGCATTTTAATATTTAAATATTGTATATAAGAAAAGGTCATTCTTTGTATATATTTATAGATACCAAGTATTAGTGAATGTAATATAAAAATTGGTACAAAAATGGCACCCTCCCCCCCTTCCCCCCACCCGGTTGCTAATGTCAAAATTTAAATATCCGTTTGTAATTATGTATGCAGTACATGCATTTATTATATTATATTACTGAATCGGCGGATGTGCATCGATGTTTACAATAGCAATCACCAACAAAAAGAAAAGTAAAGCACATCAAACAGAAGAGCACTGTTTGGCCGAGGCGAGATTCCAGTGAGCAAAAAGTCACAATTTTCACAATTCAGAGATTCACTCGATTAATGAATGTCGGAAAAATCAATGTCGGACTAATGAGGGTCGGAAGCTTGAAGTTGGAATTTCCAAGATTAATGTTGATAATTCCAAGATTAAAGTTGATAATTCCAAGATTAATGTTGATAATTCCAAGATTAAAGTTCATAATTCCAAGATAAATGTTGATAATTCCAAGATTAAAGTTGGAAATTCCAAGATTAAAGTTGATAATTCCAAGATTAAAACTGGAAATTCCAAGATTAAAGTTGATAATTCCAAGTTTAAAGTCGACAATTTGAAAAAAAAAAGATGGCCCTAATACACTTCCGTAGAAATCATCTCTATTGTCGAAAAGTTTTTTTCTCACCAGACCCTCATTGTCAACGTTCAGATGTAAATTAAGATATGAGGCAGACTTAAATGTATCTGTTGTATCCTTTATTTCAAGTTTGTTGGATGAATGCATTCAATATAGTTCCCAACTATCTGTGATCATCAGAAATGTTAGGAAATACTCGTCTATCTCCAATTCCGATGCAATGTTCCAAACATAGAAGAGATGTTATAATATCTGAATATTTTGTCTTTCATTTCAATTATTTTCGCTAAAAAGAGTATATACATGTAACTCGTCTTAAACTTGATGAAATTCATTTCTCTTGCAGACAAAAGAATCCCTTGATACCGCCGTAATAAGGTCAATGATCTCTCCAAGATATGAATATATCGTGGCATTAGATATCGGAACTACTTATTCAGCATATGCTTATGCTGATAAACATGATATTAATTTTGAAAAAAATCAAATGGACATATCTTGCAATCAAGCTTGGAGTGCTGGAAAGTCTAATTGCATAACAATGAAAACTCCGACGAGTATTTTACTTGATGATGCAGGAGAACTGGTTTCGTTCGGCTACGAAGCAGAGGATAAATATGGAAAACTGGTAAAAGATAAAGTCAAAGATTTCTATTTCTTCAGAAGATTTAAAATGGCTTTATACAAAAATGTAAGCAAATGTATATTTATTGGTTATAATAAAAATGTATGGTGACACACACAACCGGCATTCATTTCGACATAGATGTAAAAGAATATTAGACCATAATATGGGGTATGAAGTGAATAAAACACTACTTTTGTTTCTGTGGGTTTAACAGTATTATCCACTAACGCAACAGACGAAAGTGCGTCTTCTATAATGTATGCATTTATTATATTATTTCTAAAAATATGATTTCTCGTGACAATCACTAAAGTATATCAATTAATTTTATTGATTTTGAAGAAAATTATAAGTTTGGTATTGCGCAAAACAGTGAAACATAAAATAACCAACGACGAGTAATTATGATACATATATATATATATATAAAATCTTTGCACCTTTGTTTGCGGTATATCATCTTTGCCGCAAGTTTATTGTTTTCTGTTTGGTATTAAATTTTTAATTAAGATCCATTTATTACACCTTGTGATCCGTTTATTTGGCAATCGCCAATGGCAGTCAGCAGGGTTTAAGAACATTTGTTGTTCGACCTGTTAGTCAAATGCGTTTTGTTAAAATATACTTTTTCACTTTTTTGGTCTTTTGGAAAATGTTGTTTGTGCTGTATTTAGACCCCTCTAACAAGAAATTTGTTTTTGCATGCACACGTATAAAAATTGCGGTTTTTATCCAACGCAATCATAGGTTTGAACGTTGTTTTCAATTTAGACTTGTATATATATATATATATATATATATAGTATTAATTCGTAGTCTGTCAATAATAGGAATGAATCATTTAACTGACCCGTACTCATCTATTTACAAGACATTCCGTATATTTCTGTCACCTGATCCTTACAAAGTTTTTCCGTCCCTCAATGTGACTTGTACCGATGTTTCTGTGACATCACTTCAAACCTGCACTGTGTCTAGCAACTTAGACAATCCGGCCAGATAAGCTTTATAAAAAATGTAGCCTTCCTTCGTTGAAGTTATGGCTTTTCTTTTTGGCTTTGACGATCATCTCTTTTAGACGTTTTGGGGGTTTATCATTTTGATCATATTACACCGTTTTGATAAATCAGTAGGGGTCGTTTAGCGCCCAAAATCAATGTCATATTAACCAGAAGAAAGTCTTGCTATTTAGCAATCAATTTTGCATATATTAATTATTGGTGATCACAAACGTGCACGATTTTTTTTCCAGAAAGTCATAATAAATTTCGATTGAAAAAAAATAAATCAAATTGCTTTTAAAGACTTTCTTACTCCACGTAATCTTGGGAAAATTAGACGACGTTATTCTATTTCACAATGAATGACAAGTCATTCATGTTTTCTGTAGAATTGAATGGAATTGTATTAATCTGAAAAAAAAATGCACTATTTGATACGTTACACCATTGTTTTGATTATATACTAGTACCTGTCTTAAAACGAAATGGAACAAAACATGCTACATCTCTTTGGTTTTCTAATCTTTTGACCATTGCATGCAAAAAAGACAAATACATCTTCAGTGTGATGGGTTTTGTTTTAATGCGACAGAGAAATCCGAACGTTATAAATACAGTACGCTGTCGGAAAATTCTGTTAGAAGATAAAATTGTAGAATATCGGTTTTTGCTAGAAATAATTTTCAATGAGTTTGTTTTAAGAAAAAAAACTATTTATTTTAAGTATTAGAACAAGGGATTTTCCCAAAATTGCACTGTGGCAAATATAACTTCAGTTACGTGAGAATTCCAGAGAGTAGCCGGATCAATACCCATAATGTTTTTAAAGTTTAAATTAAATAGAATGTTCAATTCTCGTAAAGCCATTTAGAATATACAAATCTAGGTAAAAACACAAAACCTGAGGGAACCGCAAACGGTGCGAGATCAGGCCTTGCGGTTATAAAACTTTGGAGCACGATTAGTGTACTCGGACTCAGAAATCAACCAACCAAAATACTGGATTTGGTGTTTCGAGCACAAATTTTGTACTGAGTAAAGATTTATGACCAAGGGCCCAGGTGTGACGAGAGGGTAGATGTTTCTTTCTATGCGCTCATCATCTGCAATGCGTATCCACACTCAGTCAAAATTTTATGATAAGGAATAGGGAAAATCGGTAAGGGAGAAGGTCCAGTAAGGGCTTATTTTGGCCTAAAATTTGAAGTACATCGGATGAAAGATTTTTGACATTTTTTTAATACTTAGGTGTCTTCTTCAGTCGTTTCAATGTTTAAGTAAAAGATTCGAACTGATTTGGTCATTAAAGACGCCTAAATTCAAATTTAGATATGACAAATCTATCAAATATGCCAAAAAAACATCACTTTTCAGATAGTTTTTGTCTAAAATGGAAGTGGCAACCTTTATATATGTTATGTTATGTATTATCCAATACAACGTATATTTAATGTTTAGACTGAACACAAGTGCGGCCCCTTCCATTTTAGACAAAAACCGTCTAAAAATTAGCACAAATGCTAAAAATGCGAAGATTTCAGTAATTTTGCATGAATTATTGATGCTAGTACCTGATGCATGTGCATTGTATTGTAAAAACCAACCCATATTTATGTAACAAAAGTATAATTCTTTCCAATAATTAGCTATAAAAGTTTACCTTTTTAAACAAATTTTTGAAATGCTATATTTTGGGGCCAAAGAGGAGACTTACCGGGTCAACTCCTTTACAGACTAAACGACTATTTTGGTATCGATCAAAGTTTAAGACCGCGAAAAAATGTTGCTTGTCAGTTGAAACGCTGTCACATCATATCGGTCAATAATTCGTAATAGTGATCGCAAAAAAAGTATGTAGTGTCGATTACAGTCGGTTTTTTTTTTCTCATAGTAATACTGGTAAAGATCAAAACCCGCCTTAATATGTCACTTATGAGTTGAAAAGCATACCCTTCGTATCGGTCAACCAATTTGTGATAATCATGCACGCGAGTTACAATTTATTTGAGATATGATAACGCCATATGATGTGGCAGAGGGTATGTTAAAGCCGAAACACTAGAAATCGGCAATGGGAAAACTGACATCATTGCGTTGACATAGATCCTAGTTTAAAGTCGTCCATTTGTTTCAATATCAGGAAACAAATCAAAATGAAAAGCCGACTTTCTAGTATCAGCAGTATTCTTAATAACGGTTTCCCACTAACTGTGTTTGTCTATTTTCGTCATAACAATATAATTCATGGAATCCTGCATGGAAACAATTTTACTTAGTTCTTAATCAGTCACGATAAGAATTTTTATTCTTGAGCAAATGAAGATAGGAAAAGTCCATAAAGTTTTTTTTTGGCTCAATAGTGTCTTTGTCATGCATTTATATAATTTATTTAATCTATTACCAAAACGTATGCAAAGAATGTGGTTTTCTATGAAATATATAGCAAAAAAAAAATTGCTGTGTTAACGCACTTTATCTCTTAAATCGTGTTTGCTCGACTGATATAAACATAGGAGATTCAATATGAATGTCAATAAGACAACTATCCACCAAAGTTCAAATGATGTGGATATAGGCAACCGTTCGGCCCTCAACAATGAGAAAAACCAATACCGTATAGTCGGCTATAAAAGGCCCCGACATGAAAAATATGAAACCAATCAATTGAAAAAAACTAACGGCCTCATGTTTAACATAACAATTTACGGACAACAGATATGACACACATGAACCAACGACAACCACTGAACTACAAGCTCCTGACATGAGACAGGCACTTATAGAATGTGTCGGGGTTAAACATGTTTGAAGACGCCAATCCTCCCTTAAGCTGGGACAGTGGTGTAACGGCACAACATAAGAACAAACTATAAAAAGCAGGTAAAATCGGCTTGACTCATCAGATCGATACAAAGCAGAAAAACATCTAACAAAAATACAGGCCGGACGTGGCAGGAAATTTATACATTCCTCACAACAAAAAAGACACTTAAGCACAGATCTTATAGTACTTGCAGTTACTGACAGCTAGTTCAAAGCCAGTTTCAACTAATATAACAATTCATGTATCTAAGACTTAAATATCAATCAGTACACATCCAACATCCAATATTAATGGATTTAGTGATTTAGTGTAAAAACGTCATAAATAATCAGAGAAAAACTTAACTTTGTGCAATGCCAAAATATAGGTATCGGCAGATTGTAGAACCACCAATTTGCATATGTATACTATTAAGTATGGTTTTAATTTACTGATAACAAAAATCAATATTTATAACCTTTTAGAATAAGTTTATTTAAAGGCCTGATAAGTTCACCCGGATCGTATCTAAATTTCCGGGCTCGGTAAACAACATCACCATAAAAATCAGGATTTGCTATTCGGTTTGAAATAAGGTACAGCCAAACTTCCAGATCAAATCTTTGTACCTATATATGTGGAATATTTTAGTAAAATTTCAAAGTAAGTTGTGGTAACGAATTCTGGTATTGATTTCTCTTATCTTATCTTATTATAATCGATTGTGCTTGTTCTGGGTCCATTTGTTAACATTGTATCCATATTCAGTAGAAAAAAATAATTTAAAAAAAAATTAAAAACCAGATAGGTTCGGAAAATGTGTCGACCGGGATGAACGGCTTTCGATTTGAACTCTAGATAGGAGCATATTATCCCCGTCATAGCTAACTTAAGGAAAGTTGTAATGTTTTCAATATACAAAGATCGTGGAGTTTCATTTGCATGCTTTAGAGAATAATCTACATCAGATACAATCTTCACCTACACGATAACACATGTTCTGTTTGGTTCGAGTGACATTTTAGTACAAATTTCGAAGTACTTTGAATGAAGGGTCAACTGCGTCTAATAAAGTACCTTCTTCTTTCTCTTCGTCAGAATTAATAAGTCTTCGAATTCTCAGAGCAAATATTTGTATGTGTGTATACATATGTATTAGTTGGTTTGAATGACAGATCCGTTACCGTTTATCCCTACGGAAAGGTAAAAAATAAAACCAGACTCGTGTTTTGTATGAATCATTTTGGTGTTTTCGTAAAACAACATTAGCTTTTCATTTCTATCAGCTTCAGGACAAAACTCTTCTGTCATAGCCGGAAAGGTTTTCGTTGTTTAATTTAAAGTTCTTTAAGATTAAAAGTATTTATTGATGAGTGTATACAGATTGTTAATGTTTCATGGGGTTGGAAAGTGACAGTGCTGACTTTAGTCATAGATGCAGATAAGTGATAAATGTTCAAAAGAAATTGCAGTTTGTACATTTTTGGCCTCATTTGTATCGTGATACCAAGCTCACAATGCAGGTCGTTGGCTCGATCTCTGTAAATGTCAAACCAGAATTGTCGCTTCTTTTCTACTGCGCTTGCAGGGGCCTCGGTAGCCGAGTGGTCTAAGTAGTTACTACTGTAATCACTAGCCAGTCAACACTGTGTGTTCGAACCCCGCTCGTGCGGGTTTACTCGACTCCAATCTTAATTGACTAGGATTGTCAGTTTTCCTATCGAAGGTCGGTGGTTTTCTCCGGGGACTCCGGCTTCCTCCACCAATAAAAACTGGCCGCCACGAAATAGCCCAAAAGCCGTGCTTAAAAGTGGCGTTAAAACACCAAAAAATCAAATCAAATCTACTGCGCTTGCAGCAAATAATATCCAGCAAAAAGTGGTTGGCTAGAAATCAGATTAATGTTCCGGGACTGGGCAATGTTTCGCGTTACCTTTTGAGATAGAGCTAAAAATTCTAGCATATTGCTCTAATTAAGCAGCTGTTAATATTTATGTTTATATTATATCAACACCACATCAACCCATACCGTTCAAAGTCAACAAGGAGAGGATACTGAGAAGATAGGTGAATTTAAGATTTTTCGTTTTTAGATTCCCACATCTCTTATGGTGTTAAATGATGTTAACGGGAGGCCTTTATTAGCGGAAACTGTATTTGCAAGAGCAATTTCAGCTTTAATGAAAGAATTCAAAGACTCTATCACTAGACATGGTATTCATTTAAGTACTGACGAAGTTCGTTGGGTTCTCACAGTTCCAGCAATATGGTCAGAAGCTGCCAAGAGGTTTATGAGGAAAAGTGCTGAAGTCGTAAGTAAAAACAGATGTATAATTGTATGTCTAATATTGAAAAACAAGTACTATCTTTAAAAAAGATACCTGGCGCAATCAGATGTGAGCATAGAATTAACAAAAACAAACCATGAATCTTTATCAGTGTTTTTCTATCATAGTTAAAAAAAAAATGCACATAATTTGACGACAAAAGGCTGACGATTCTGAAAGTTGGGTATATGCGACTTTCTCTATACACTGCATGGTACTTAATTAACTAAATATATATATATAAATTGCGGTTTTTATCCAACGAAATCATAGGTTTGAACGTTGTTTTCAATTTAGACTTATATATATATATAAATCCTGAACTTCATTCTATTAAACTAAAACAACAATTTGTTTTGATTTAAGAATTGCTATGTACAATAAGCGGCAAAAATATTTTTCTAGACAATTTACAAACATATAATTTTTATAGAACATCAATAAAATTTGTTAAACTTTTACTCAAATTTTGTTTAGTTCAAGCTAACAATAAGCGGCAAAAATATTTTTCTAGACAATTTACAAACATATATTTTTTATAGAACATCAATAAATTTTGTTAAACTTTTACTCAAATTTTGTGTAGTTCAAGCTACAAAAATATTTTTTTTGTCATGCATCCGATTTGACCTTGAGAGATGCACACGCCTGATGAAGCTAATTTGTTTAGCGAAATATTGCGTGAATAATATAAAATATAACAACTAATTTTATAACACTCATTAGTGTGTTAAAGTTACATTCTTAGGCTTATATATATATATATATAAAATGACTGAATAATAGCCAACGATAAATCTAACGGGGCGATGGATCATATAATTATGATACAGTACACTACAAAATATAATATATAACCAGTCTAAAAGGGTACAACATCACCAAAAAATAACAATAAAATGAACAAATGTAACTATAAATATTTCGGATAACAGATATCCTTCATCAGTATGATCATGATGTAAAATGAATCTTATCAACCTATTCTGATTATAAAACGATAGCATCTTGAATTCTATACAAAAAAAAACAGTTTTACTAGAACATCATAGAGACGCTAGTACAATTCTAAAACTTCCAAACACGGCGCAACGACATACCTAAAATAAAAATAGTAATAATTTGCGATATGAGCTTGCACTTTTAAATTCCAAAGGTGAGGACAGTTAAGATGTTACAAAAACTGCGTGGAAATACATTCCCAATAAACAGCACTGACCGATCTAAGCTTGTATTATATTTCAAATTTGACAACAGTAGAGTAATTAAAACAGAACCTGCGTATTTTAACACCCCAAATAAATAGCAGTTTTATAATGATAAGAAAAATAATTGAACGTGACTGCGTACTTTTACATCCATCCCAAATGAGTAGAACCCTGTAATTAAAACTAGTATAATTAAAAAATTCCTTAAAAATGTAGGAGTCTAGTACAGAAGCCGGAGTTACTGGAAACAAGTGATGGCAGGAAAATGAGTGATGGTAGGGAAAATGAGTGAAACATTCTATGTTTTTTTTCATTAATGCCCTCTGGGGAAACTGTCCTTAGCTTTCTTATCCAAAACCTTTCCTGAGCAAGTCTGTCGGCCCTTGACCAACCCTCGTTGTGGTCATCCAAGATAGCCGGAGAGGAACTTAGTTTAACATAGGACCCTATGGACAATACATACAAGTGTCTCCTTTTAGAGAACCTCTGAATGGAATTAAACCAAACATGGCACGAATGTTCTTTATGGGGTGCTGACCAAGTGTTGTTACTTTGAAGCCGATCCATCATCCAAGATGAACGCCAGCGGGGGACTTCGTTTAACATAGGACCCTATGGACAATACATACAAATATCTTCTTTTAGAGAACCACTGAATGGAATGAAACCAAACATGACATGAATGTTCCTTATGAGGTGCTGACTAAGTGTTGTTACTTTGAAGCCGATTCATCATCCAAGATGAACGCCAGCGGGGGACTTCGTTTAACATAGGACCCTATGAAAAATACATACATATGTCTTCTTTTAGAGAACCACTGAATGGAATGAAACCAAACATGACATGAATGTTCCTTATGAGGTGCTAACCAAGTATTGTTACTTTGAAGCCGATCCGTCATCCAAGATGGCCGCCATAGAGGGACTTAGTTTAACACAAGACCCTATGGGAAATACATACAAATGCTTCTTCTAGAGGAGCACTGAATGGAATGAAACCAAACATGGCATAAGAAAAGAAGATCTACACATAAGGCAACATGAGCAAAATTGTCAATTGACATCTTGTTGGAGTTATTGTCCTTATGAAGTCATTTTCTACAATTTCAATGAATTTATTGGTAAATTCTGTAAACTTTACAAAAGTCTTCTGCTTTTGATTAAATTACAGGGCCAATATTAAACCAATTTTGGCCTCAATCATTATTAGGGTATCTGTTATGATTTTAATCTATTTTTACATGATTACCAAAACCAAAGTAGAATCAGGTGAGTGACACAGGCTCTTGAGAGCCTCTAGTTATTTATCTGGATAATTTTATTTTTAAGTTTGATTTTATGTCCGTAATGTTGTAGCATATATCTTCTTTTTTTTTTTTTTGTTGTTTTTTGTTCAATTTCGTTATTTCGTCCAATCAGAGTAAAGATTAGTGACAATCATGCATGTCGTTACCATAGTGAAGCGTCCTTTATAAATAGGTCACAAACCGAAATTATTCCTGACTGCGTCAGTAAAACGTTTTGAAACAGGGGTCTACCTTTTAGCCTGATAGCGCCAATAGTAGAAAAGCGTCCCTTAGTCACACAGAAATCTTACCCCAGCAATCCAACCGCTTATAAGTCTGGCAGCGAATTCCTCAATAGATCGTCATTTGAAAAAGAATAGGTCATCACATATTTATCAAACATAAAGTTTAACTTTGTTTTCTATAGTTTTGAAATGTTCTTGTAAGAGTACACCTGCTTCATTGTAAATCGAACATTGTCTGCATGGAAAGGGTACCAACACAATTAAATAGAATTTTAACTTCAAATGTCTTTTTTGTTAAAAGCAATCTTTAGAATATAACTGTCTGCGAATCAGTCAAATACCGCCTGCTTCCGCTTTTTGGAGCCTGAAATAATTTTTGACGATGTATGTGGAGCAAGATGAGCTTACACTTCCGGAGCACCTAAGATCACCCCCGGTTTTCGTTGGGGTTCGTGTCCTAGTTTTCTGTGTTGTGTTTTGAATACTGTTGTTTGTATTGTGGTCTTTTACTCTTTTTACAATGACGTTGTCAAAATAAAAATAAGGAGATGTGTTATGATTGCCAATTATCCAGTTTATTTTCGACTTATGAGTTTGGATGCCAATTTGGTATCTTTCTTCTCTCTTTTATTTGGATATATCTTTACATTAATGATACGCATGTTGATGATCCGAATGTAAACATCAATAAAGTATATGTTTGGTTTAAATAAATTAATACTAACAATGAACACTGCCCTTTCCTGGATCTTGATATCTTTATCTTTAACGGGAAGCTTAATACCAAAATTTATGATAAAAGAGATAATTTTTCATTTCCTAATGTTAATTATCCATTTTAAGATGGTGACGTTCCTTTGTCGCCATCTTATGGTGTTTATATATCCCAACTTGTTCGATTCGCTCGTGTTTCATTTCAACGAAAGAAATCTCTGTATTACTGAAAAATTATTACACCAGGGTTTTCGATATCACAAACTAGTCAAAACATTTACTAAATTTCATCATCGGTTCAAGGACATCATTCGTAAATATAAATCAACATGCAGACATCTTATGCGTTCAGGTATTTCACATCCAATATTTTATGGTAATATTCTTTACAGAGCACAAAAATGTCGGCATTCACCTCAAAAGCTAACCAAACCTTTAAACAGACTTATTCGGAAAGGATATAGTTACGATACTGTTGTCAAGGCATTAAGGATTGCATATTTTGGTATTAATATTGATTCACTCATAGGGTCTTTGCATCGGAAATAAACACATTTATTCTAAAACCAGTTGTTGGCATGATACGGGTTATGTTCTTCTCATATATTTTATGATGGTATGATACTAAACCTCTAACGGGAGGGATTGTACTTGATTTTCATATGATGAAGACATAATCTTTCAATTAGTTTAATTGAGGTCTGGAGCTGGCATGTCAGTAACTGCTAGTAGTCCTTTGTTCATTTATGTATCATTGTCACTTTGCTTAGTTTCTTTTGTTACCTTTTCTGACATCGGACTCGGACCTCTTTTAAACTGAGTTTAACTTTAACTGTGCGTATTGCTATGTGTTTCTTTATTATACATTAGCTAGAGGTATAGGGGGAGGGTTGAGATCTCACAAAACATGTTTAACCCCGCCGCATTTTTGCGCCTGTCCCAAGTCAGGAGCCTCTGGCCTTTGTTAGTCTAGTATGTTTTTTTTAATTTTAGTTAATTTATATGTTTTGGAGTTTAGTGTGACGTCCATTTTCACTGAACTAGCACACAATTTTATTTAGGGGCCAGCTGAGGACCACCTCCGGGTGCGGGATTTTCCCGCTGCATTGAATACCCATTGGTGGCCTTCGGCTGTTGTCTGCTCTTTGGTCGGGTTGTTGTCTCTTTGACATATTCCCCATTTCCGTTCTCAATTTTTTTATCTCCAGGTATTGTCATTTTTTGGGGATTTATGGAAATAATACGAGAAAGAAATATTTAATAATTTATATGCGAGTGCAATTTCATAATTTAGAAGTGCATGGTGCGAAGAAAAATGTTTTTTTTCAAATATTTAATGTTTGCTATTCTAGTGGTATTTTTTTTAGCTTACTCTGTACCTACTATATCGGTTTGCTAATGATTGAATGTCGGAAACATGTCACTATCCATTCATGCTTTATTTCGATCACATAATCCTGAAAAATACATTTTTTAGGCTGGCATTCCAGACAACCAGCTGATAATTGCATTAGAACCAGAGGCTGCATCAATATATTGTCAATATGTAAAGAGCAAAGATCTCAGTGATCCTAAACTAACGGTTTCAAGTACCGGAACGCAGTACATGGTCGTTGATCTTGGTGGTAAGAAACATATACGGATATCCATGCATTATTAATCAATAAAACAAAAACCTCGATACTTCAGTAAAAAGTGAAATAACAAAAATACCGAACTCCAAGGAAAGTCCCTTAACAAAGCCTATTTCAACCATCTGAATTCGTATTAGGTTATAAGATTACACCACCATATATTATTCAGGCAGGCATTCGATCAAATGCCTAAAAAATTCTTTTTGGAGCGGAACGCAAATTCCAAAGGTTTCAATAGAGACATATGTTTAAGCTATAACCATGTACCTAGTATGATAGGCGATAGAATAAGATTTACAGGAAATTATTTAGAGGTTTTACAAACAATTTAAATAACCATAAGATATAGCAACTTTAGAAAAAGTATGAACACTCAGAAGCATGCAATTGAAACAGTTATATATTAGATCGTATCATAATATTGAATACTATATATGTTTACAAATTTCCTTATCATTTTTTTCTGTGATTCAATCTTGTAACCAGACTTTATTAACGCAACAAGAGGCAGACATGTATGCGCTTACGTAATTTTCGGAACAATTTTTCTTAATATTTGAAAGGCAAATTTTTGTCATTTTGAATACATATATTAACATAATATGGCTAATAGTGATTGCTGTTCTATAATTTTAATGATGTCAATCAGAGTCTAAATGAATCCTCTTTTGCATTTCGATGAGATCAATTAATGATTTGAACCGCCATTACGTCATGTTTTTATTTTACTGTCCTCATCCGTCTTCTTATTTATAAGTGCATTTTTGAGTATTTAGTTTTACCTGGTAATATCAATATGACTTATTCAAATAGAAATTTGAAACATGCAGATGTCTGCAGTCTCCTTTCCTTCCTAGTAAACCAAAGGAATACTCTGGAACATAGGAAATTTAGTTTTTTTCTTTTTCTGGGTAAATAAGAGGACAAAAGCAGTTACCCGATGTTCAAATCTCGTAAATCCTGAAGAATATAAAAATCAACATTAAAATCAAACACTTGAGATAATTGCATGAACTCAAAACGGAACCAGACTGGGTGCATCGACATGGTAAGCGTCTCCTGATATCAGGGCATGCATCACACTCAGTCAATATGTCAAAATATGTTAAATTTACAGAGCATACGACTTGTAGAATTCTAAAGATCTAAGACCGCGATAAGTCGTTTACAAGTTTAGACACACACACACATATATTGTATGGCTTTCCAAATACCGTTTCGATTCCTAACATCACTGAAGAGACATTAATTGTCGAAATCCGGATATGGTGTACAAAAAACTTTGCACCTTTTGTTTGAGGTATACCATCTTTTCCGCAAGTTTATTGTTTTCTGTTTAGTATTAAATTTATAATTAAGATCCATTTATTACATCGGTGATCCGTTTATTTGGCATTCGCCAATGGCAGTCAGCGGGGTTTAAGAACATGTGTTGTTCGACCTGTTAGTCAAATGCGTTTTGTTAAAATATACTTTTTCACTTTTTATGTCTTTTGGAAAATGTTGTTTGTGCTGTATTTAGACCCCTCTAACAAGAATTTTGTTTTGCATGCACACGTATAAAAATTGCGGTTTTTATCCAACGCAATCATAGGTTTGAACGTTGTTTTCAATTTAGAATTGTATATATATATATATATATATATATATATATATATATCGTGTATTTCAACCAATTCGTGATGGTGACCGTTAAACTTGTGTGATGTCGATTTCAGTCGTTCTTCCTCATAGCCCTGCTTGAGCAGTTTTGGTTTCATGATCAATACCATATTAAATTCTGTATAATGTGAACATGAACGCGTGTAATGTCAGTGTTGAGCCAGTTTTAAGAGAATAGGATACATTGTTTTCGATTAGTGATAACAGATACTCTGGAAAATTCACAATCAAAATAAAAAAATGACAGTTGCAGATGTAAGTTTGTGTGGTAATAGATATAAGAGTGAATTCAGGCGTATCACGTTTTCTGCATGGTATGGAATATTCGAAAAGGATGCGTCATCTTAATACCTTTAGGTTTTATTGAAAATATCTACCCAACACTCGAAAATGCCTTAATACCATTATTGACGATAAGATTTATTACGATATGTGAGACAACGTGTGTTTTGGCGTGTCAAGACGCATTTTTGCAATCAAAAAATGGTTAGACAGATATTCTATTGTTTCTGTGTGTGTTTTGTGGTTTGAGCAGGGCAGAATGCGCAGGTTTACACCTTCCTTGCGTTCTTTTTTCTTCGCTTTTCTGTTTAATGAAAGACGATATTGACACCAGCTAAGAACTAGCTTTACATCAACTTATAGGAAATGTGTAGAACAATCCAAGATTTTCTGAAACTACTGAAATCATTTATGGCGAAATTGATACCAAATATGTCAAAATGCTTACTGCTGCAGCAATGTAAGTGTTTTGCTGAACAATTTACTAAGATGGCTAGTAATAAGAACTTTGCATATAAATCAATTACAATATAGAGTAAGGTTCACGATGTTGCATGATTAAAAGAAACTTCTGGTATATGCAAAATATTGTAAGTGGAATGTCTCCTTTTTAACTATTGAATTTGATATCATAGGTTAATAGATATAGCCCACAGTAGCAGACTTTTTCTAAAGTGTCCTTGAAAGTGAAAAAACATAAATTATTTTACTTTGAAATGTTTAGAAAAGGGATATGTCAGCTTTCAGGGTATACTTTTCAAAGGGAAGTTAGTGTTTGTTGCTTAATTCATAATTAGATTATTAAAAATTAAATATAATTTTATAGGTGGGACAGTGGATATTGCCGTTCATGAAAAATTAGGAAACGGGTACTTGAAAGAAATCCATCACGCAACCGGTGACGACTGTGGGGGAATTCGATAAATAACAGTTTGGTTCATGAATTGATTCGAAACTTTGGAGGTCCTTTAATAAAAGAGATCGAACGGAGTCATCCGAAAGAATACTTTGACATCCATAGGGAGTTCGAAGCGGCCAAAAAAAATTTTGATCCATTTAAAGAAAACGAAATGTCACTGCGGTTACCATATATTTTCCTAAATGCCATATGCAAGAAAATGACAACAGAAAACTTCGAACAAATACTTCACCTAGGTCCACATGATGACAAACTTACCATAGAAAACGACTGGGTGTACATAAGTGCAAACTTGGTAAGAAAGCGACTCTTTGATCCAACAGCTGAGAGAATATGCAATCTTATCACGCAAATAATATTTAGTGTAAACAATCCAAGGCTAACAAAAATTCTTTTAGTTGGAGGATTAGCAGATTCAAAATATATACAAGATGCCATTCGGAAAGGATTTCCAAATAACAAAGTTATTGTCCCACAGGATGCAGATCTTTGTGTAATCAAAGGAGCGGTTATGTTTGGTCATTCACCACATCTAATTTCGCATCGTGTTTCGCGATTCTCGTATGGAGTAGGTATAGCACCTGAATTTGATAGTTCAAAGCACGACGAAAAGCGAAAGAGCGTTATAGAAGGAGTGGAGAGATGTGATGGGGTTTTTGGTCTTTATGCCGCATCTGGATCAGTCTTGGAGATGGATACAACCATCAAAAAGACACACTACACTCTTCACAGATATCAGAAAGCTGTTGATCTATCAATTTTTGCGTCAACAAAAGATAATCCAAAGTACACAGATGAAGACGAATGTGAAAAAATAGGACATTTCGTGGTAACACTTAAAAATCCAACTAAACAAAAGAGAGCAGTAGAGGTTACTGTTGTATTTGGAAATACCGAATTGAAAGTTTATGCCTTTGATAAAACATCTGGAGAACAGTGTGATGCTTCTTTCGATTTGCCACTTTTCTGAATCGAAACGTTTTTTTTTTTTTACCTAATTACTTCTGTTGCATTTCAGTTTTGACATCAGTTTCAATGTATGGCTTAGACGTCTGTTGTCAGCTTATTTAGGGATATTTAAATATGACGTAAGTTTGAAATTAAGGTAATGGCTTTACAATTAAACATCATCAAACCAAGACGAAAAAGGGTACGAAAAGCGGAGTTATATTATTGTTCTGACAGAGACAAAACATTTTTTTTTCTTCACTTTTACAACTTGAAAGTTGGATTTTTAAAAGTTATGCAGAATAGTATAAGATTGTAATCAATATTAGAAAAAGGAGGCTTGTAATTATACAAATGTAAATGGTACAAAAGTTTTTCTGGACGATATCCTTTCTATGAAAAAATTTAATTATCTGTTTTATTTCTTGGTGGTAATTAATTTAGATTTTTTTTTTATGACAGTTGTCTTAGACAGGATGTTGGATGTCTACTATTTTAGTCTAAGACGCATACTTTTGTATTTGCTGTTTTTGGTTTTGAACTAGCTTTCAGTAACTGTGAGTACTCTCACACCTGTACTTTGTGTCTTTTGTGTTTTTGTACCGATTTGTATGTGCTTTGTATCGATCATATGAGTTAATCCCTTTCAACTGATTTTGATAGTTTGTTCCTATGTTGTACTGTTACACCACTGTACCAGGTTAGGGGGAGGGTTTTGTGCTAGCAGACATGTTTAACCCCGCCACATCCTTGATGTGCCTTACCCAAGTCAGGTAACATATACCGTAAAAGTTTAAATAGTCCTTGCTATATCGTGAATCACGACAACTCAGAATCAAAGTTCGAAAAGCATCTGGTGACATTACTAAAAGACCATCAAAGGTTATACGTATATATTGTTGTGTTTGCCTTGATATTATCACATTTCAAATTGTATAGAAATAAAAAGATATCCCCTTCCACAGATTTAGCAGAAAGTAATGGGATTCTCCTCAATACGTCGTTTGTTTTTGTGATGCTGGGTGCCGTCTCATTGACTATATGCCCCACGTCTCCTTAGCTTCAATTTAAATCATAATTATTTGTTTTGTAAATATAACATAAATCAACTGTTTTTATTTGCATAAAATATATGAATAATTCATCATGTTATTATGAAAGTATTTCTGTGGTTTATATTTGGTGATTTGTGAATTATGAAACATATATTATTATTTTTGTCAATATCCAATCATATCAGGCATGAACTCCAAAACTTGTTTTCACAACATAAACAACCAAATAGCAATTGGAGAAGGCACTAGCTAGAAAAATTAAAGGTCTCTGAAAATCTTGGCAAAATAATTATATCGATGCTTAATAATATTATGCACATTGCACATTTTCGAAGAGATAATAAATGAAGTGTTTTTGTAATATGACAGAAACGTCATAAAATGTGTACGTGAAATTGTTCATCCTGTTGAAATTCTTTTTAACTCTTCAAGCTTGTGATTGAACTGTTGCTGTTCAATCGTTGAATTTGGTATTTGGATTAAATATCGTTAGAAATAAGACTGAGATAAGTTTTTTATAGTTTTTATCTGCCATGAAATTCTGTACAAAGGAGAGATTGCATTTGGCAAATTTCCATAAATTTGAAATATAGATTTCAGTTCCTAATTCACGACGTCAAAAATGTAGTTATGATATTATAGGAAAACTCCTTCTACGTGTTTTCGTTACAAATGCTTAGACGTGGTAACATTTTGAATAGTTCTTAGTCCATCAAATTAAAGGCACATGCAAGTATTAACTGAATGATTTACCACGATGTTTGTTTGTCTGAACAACTCATATGTTAAAATTTGGTTGATACTTTATATGCTCAAACTTTCAGATTCACAAATATGTGTCCAAATATGAATCTTTTGGTCATTTTTCGGCAAAAATTAAATTTACAATCTTTCGACCATTTAATCTCTGTGAATATGCATAATATTGCGAAGATCTTACTTTTTAAAACTTTAAAAATATAGATCGTTTCTTTAGGCAAAAATCACCTGATTTTGTGTTACATTTTTGTACTTTAATTATAAGGATAAATGTAGCCTTTATATATCTCCTCCCCCGTTACTTTGAGCAGCCTTTATATCTCCTCCCCCGTTACTTTGAGCAGCCTTTATATCTCCTCCCCCGTTACTTTGAGCAGCCTTTATATCTCCTCCCCCGTTACTTTGAGCATTGCACATGATCGTGTTTTCCTGTATTGTTTATTGCATTGATCAGAAGTACAGTCATCGATAAAAGAGTGTAGAATAGCATGATTTTATATCTGCAGGTTTAGTAGTTTATTAATATAAATAAGAAGATGTGGTATGAGTGCCAATGAGACAAATCTTCATCCATGTCACAATGTATAAAAAGTTCACAATTATAGGTCAAGTACGGCCTTCAACACGGAGCCTTGGCTCACACTGAACAGCAAGCTATAAAGGGCCCTAAAATGACTAGTGTAAAACAATTCAAACAGGAAAACCAACTGTCTAATCTATATAACAAAAACGAAAAACGAGAAACACCCTATGAACCACACCAACAAACGACAACCACTGAAGAGGCTCCTGGTTTAGGACTGGTTCATAAAATTACATATTAAGCTTGTTTTCAGTAACTGCAAGTACTCTTTGCTACAGTAATTGTGTATTATTGTTTTGCTTGATTTGTCGTGTGTTATCTGTAATAGCAGTATTATAGAATAAATTGCTTTTACTGACCCATTTTCATTGTGTATTCTTTTATGCATCTATTCTCTTTACAATTAAAGGGACAATACCGCCATTGTTTTCCCTTAATAGTCTTTGTTTACTTGGCATTTTAAAATAAAATTATGCAAAATCTATATTTGTTTCAAATAAGAAAACACGTGGCATGAATGAAGTTGTGTCCTGTTCAATAATACAGTAAAAATTTCACACAACATTTTATTGCATATAAGAAAATAACCATCACCGGAAGTAAACCAAGCAACTTTTCAGATTTTTTTCCCCGTTTACAAGCTTTAGTAGCCAGGTCACCTCAAGTTTCCAAAATATTTTATAAGAACACCAAATAAAAAAGAATGGTACTTTGAACATCGATAAAATTTGCTGAAACTGTCAAATTCAAGGGAATATTTTGTTCGTCCCTATCTTAACATGAAGCCGGGTATGACGTACTATGTTTTGATGGTATTACACTTTAAAGGTCGTCCTATTAAGAGTCTACACACAATTTCGGCAATGTTGACTTATTTGCAGATCTTGTAATCCTATTTGCTGTTTACACCTTTTTGCGCGATTTGGAGATTAAGGGAGCTACCATTTGATTTTTATGGGGGGCTAGGATGAAATTTGAAAAAAAGGCAGGACACAAGTTTTGAGTAAAAAAATAGGCAGGAAGAGCAACTTGGCAAAAAAAAAAAGGCAGGATGACAAATTGTGTATAAAAAGTCAGGATAAACTAATAAAAAAAAGGCAGGACTGAATAAAGTGAAAAATAAAAAGGCAGGACCGAGATTACAACTAAAAAAAAAATGCAGGACAAAATTTTTCATCCTAGCCCCCCCCCCCCCCCCCCCCCCCATAAAAATCAAAAGGTAGCTCCCTAACTGTTTTTACGTTTGCGCGCAGCTTTTGATTACATGTGCGCACATTCATTTTACAGGTAACACAAGTGAAAATAATGATAATTCATAATAAATATGACTATATTTACATGTATTATGAATTTTGAACCTACTTGTAAATTCAAATTATATGCTTTACAAACGGCCCGGAATCATTCCATGCTCACTATAAGGGGACGACCATTTGATATTCTGGAAGGGGGGGGGGGGCAGGAGGATTTGTTTTGGATCGGTTATTTATTTTTGTAAACTAAGAGGACAGATTGTCTATTTTCTGCACTATTGAAGCAAGATTTTTCATTTTCATTAAAGCAAGGGTTATTTATTTTCACAACTATATTTATAATATTCGAAATACAATTTTTAAATTATTTGTTTATTATAAATAATTCATGTATAGTCAAGTCATTATGTACCATTTAATCAGAAATAATTAGTATCCTCTGCAGAAACGAATATTCTATATTCCCCAATGCATATACCTGTATTGCATACATACACAGTATCAAAGTTTGGTTGTAACTAAGGCTCTTTTAAAAGTATTGGCAAACATGTTTCGCCGAGCGAAGCGAGGCAAAATTTTTTTTAAGGGTTTTTGAACCGCTGAAGGCCCAAGAAGCTATAGAACAAATGATGCAAAATCATGCCTTCTGGGTGTTCCCCAGACCCTTTCTTAAACTGAAAATGCAAGTTCTGTTTTAATAATTTTATGACAATATTTTGGTCTCAAAGCAAAATCACGGTATAGATTCAGTGTAAGACTTAAGTTTCTAGGAACAACATCAAAAGACAAATATGCATGATAAAGCAAAAATGTAATTCACATAGTTAAGTCTGTGGCTGCTGTGTTTTTTTAAACTCATGATCAAGTTAGTAATAAAATTACTAAATTACAAAATGAATGCAACACTAACAGAATACAGAAGGGCAATCAATGAACAAAAGACAAATAAATAAGAAACATTGATCCCGAAAAATCAGGGGCTACGTCTGAGGGAGAACAGAACTTGCTTCTTGCAAGGCACTCACAGTGAACATAATTTGATATGGAGACAAGCGTTTGGTTTTGAAATTTCCTACATGAGGCATTTGTCTCAAAGTAGTTACGGCCCTGATTTAATAAAAGTGAGGTAAGTGTTCCTGAGACAATAAACCTCAAGTTAAATGAAACCAATTTTCTGACATTTCAAGTATATTTAAATAATATTTATACTTTTATTATTAAAAGATATGGGAAGTGTTTCCCGATTTTTTTTTGGAAAAAAGATGAATTTATGAAGAATCTGGTGCCATCTCATACTTTCGATTAGACCTGCTGAGTTATTTATTTTCAATACATTGCAAGTCAGGTAATTTATTTTCAAACTACCACAGAACAAACCATTTATTTTTGTGATTATCAAGGCTGAGTTATTTATTTTCAAAATCCTCCTGCCCCCCCCCCCCCCCCAGGATATCAAATGGTCGTCCCTTAATGAGCAATTTTATTCAGCATATCCATGTACTAATAATTTTGTGAAAGAAGTGTGCTTCGTATATTCATAGTTTCAAGTTAATAAGCAAAACATAAAAGTTTTTAAGATCGGTCATACAGGGGCTATAACTCCTATAAGGAGTCAACCATGATTGAGTTATTTTTAGATCTTGTTTTGCTGATTCTTTTTGCTTTCATAGATTTTCTTAATCTGTAAGAATCCCCCCTCCCCCGCCCCTGTCCAATAGTTTCAGAGGAGAACATTTTTATAAGGACGACAGATGCCAGAAGCCAAGTGATGAGGAAAGCTCACTTGACCCTTTGGGTCAGATGAGCCAAAATAATACCAAACTGTTTCATTGGATATAAACTTTCCTCCTGACCAGCTCTTTCCCCACATACAACCACGGTGAACAAGAGTGCACAAACTGAAATATCTGGACTGCTTTACTTATCTTGATTGAATTTGATGTTGAAATTCTTTAAGATCAACGCTTCACTAAAATTATCGCAGCAACATATACGAGGGTGTAGATAGGGTTTACACAACGCGAATAATTGACATAAACTGTTATCACAGAAATATGTCTTGCCTTTTTTTAATTTTGATAATGCAAATGTTTAAATTAAAATAGCAATACTTTAACCTGTAAGTTATGCAAATATTCAAAGTCGATGAACCATGACTGAAGGTACATGGCTAAACAATCTCCATGAATGAGATGTGCCAATGCTAATACAACTGCATACCAAATACCATTGACTTACTATAAGTCGTTCGCTTTAAACAAACCTAAACACAAACATTAACTTGTAAACTATGTAAAAGTTTCAAAGCCAATGAACCATGATCAGGGGTGGGGCTATATAATCTCCATGGAAACGATACTTGCAAATGCCAATAAATTTGCATACCAAATATCATTGACTTAAAATTAGCAGTTCATCTTAAACTGATCTAATCACAAACTAATACATGTAAACTAAGCAAAAGTTTCAAAGTAAATAGACCATGACTGAGGCGGCGGGGCCAAATATTCTCCATGGAAATGAGATGTGCTAATGCTTATACAACTGAACACCAATTAACATTGGCCTACCACTAATGGTTCCCCTTGAACTGACCTAATCACAAACTAATACATGTTAACTTAGCAAAATTTTCAAAGTCTATAGACCATGACTATTGGGGGGGGGGGGGGGGGGGGGGGGGGGAGCCAAATAATCTCCATGGAAATGAGATATGCCAATGCTTATACAACTGCATACCAAATATCATTGACCTACCACTAGTGGTTCCCCATAAATTGACCTAATCACAAACTAATACATGTAAACTATGAAAAGTTTCAGTCAATAGACCTTGACTGAGGGGGCGGGGCCAAATAATCTCTATGGTAATGAGATGTACCAATGCTAATACAACTGCATACCAAATATCATTGACCTACCACTAGTGGTTCACCATGAACTAGACCTAATCATAAACTAATACTATGTTGACGCCGTCACCGCCAACGCCGGAAACAGCATACCTATGTCTCGCTTTTTGACTCCGTCAAGGCGAGACAAAAAAGTGTAGAATAAAGGGCAAAAAAAGTAAAGAATAGAGAAAAATAGAACAAAAAAATAAAGAGTAGAGAATAATGTGTCATAAATATTAAGAACAGAGAAAAATGGGACAAAAAAATAAAAACAGAACTGAAGTCCTCCCTATCCACTATATCCTATCAAAATGAGGTCACGGTCAGATGGACCCTGCAGAACGGAATGCATACCTCACATTCTATCTGACAAAATTAGTTGACCTATTGCTTATAGCATCATAGAAAACTCGATGTTGGACAATTCACCTTGCAAATGAGGTCAAGGTCAGATGAACCCACTCAGATGAACAAAAATACCTTACAATCATTCTGCATACCAATTATAGCTGACCTTTTGATCTTCTTCTTCTTCCGCCACTTTTAATTTGAACTTGTCCACACCCATTCTCCAAAACCGTATGTCGGGTTAACTTAGGGTTCCACAATATGTTAGACAAACATGTCTAGTGGTGCAATCAGGGATTTGTTTGTGCAATAGGGTTTATAAAGGGGTACTTTGAGAGGCAAAAAGAAAGGAGGGTTTACTATAGATTCCTATGGGATTTTATTCTTTTTTATTTTCAAATGATTATAACTTGAAAACAGTTAGCGATAGACAAAATCTTTATAATTGAAAAGTTCTACATGATAAATCACATCAAATGAAGTAAAAAGTTTTTCCGAGGATGTTTTTGGCAGGTATTAGGATGCCCCTAAAAATAATGTTAACTAGTTCAGTGAAATGGACATTTAAAGTTTTTTTTTGGCCACTTATTCCTAAATGATTTTGGCCATATTCAAACCCACCCTTCCTTTTGAGGTATGGAACCTTGTGATGAAATTTCATAGAGATCCATACACTTATACATGGTTAATTTCAGCATATCAAAGAACCCCAGTTATTGTCCTGAAATAAGAAAATTGCTAGTTTTCGGCCCATAATTCCTAAACAGTTTTAGGACAATAACCTCCAAAATCAATAACAACCTTTCTTTTGTGGTATGGAACCTTGTGGTACAATTTCATAGTTTACAGAACATATTTGACTTACCATTAGCATTTCTCCTTAAACTGACCTAATCACAAACTTGTTCATGCAAAAGATCCTAAACCAATAGACACAGAGGTGAAGGGGGCAAAACAATCTCCATTTAATTGAGATTTGCCAAAGCTAATACAAGTATATACCAAATAACACTAACTTACCATTAGAGGTACACCTTTGACTGACCCAATCATACACTTTAACAACTTAACAACTTGTTGATACCACCACTGATGCTCACTTCAATGCCAGAAGTAATCAAGCCTCAACAAACATAATTATGTAAAAAGCAAGCTAATAACTTGTTGGAAAATGTAGTTATCTCTGTTATCAAAGTAAAGTTACATTTTCACATAAGACTCATTTAAAAATACATTTCAATCTCACTTGCCTTCTTGAAAATAAATGGACTATGTTAAAATCAAAGGTGCTTTTTCACAACAAATTTATTTGGGAGAAACCTAAAAGAGGGACGAAAGATACCAGAGGGACAGTCAAACTCATAGATCGAAAACAAACTGACAACACCATGGCCAAAATAAAAAGACAAACAGACAAATATAAGAACAGATGACACAACATACAAAACTAAAGACTAAGCAACACGAACTCCACCAAAAACTGGGGGTGATCTCAGGTGCTCCAGAAGTGTAAGCAGATCCTGCTCCACATGTGGCACTTGTTGTGTTGCTTATGTTATTACAAATCTGGTAAATAGTCTAATTCGGTAGATCACATTCGTGAAAAGGGAAGGGTATTGAAGTTACGACATAAGGAACATATCCGATATCATCTGTGAAACGGTTATTCCATAACAGTCAACCAACTCGTGATGGCATCCGTAAAATTTACGAAGGGATGATTTCAACTTCACCATTTGGAACTCTTAGTCCAATAGCTTTCTTGTGAGCAGCAATCCTCTATCAAGGAAATTATGATAGGAAATACAAGCCCGGGAATATCGTATCAATTGGGAGATCTATACTCCATATGCAGGAGCTGCTGTAATGTTGCTACATAGAAATGGAAACTTCACAATTGTGAAGCTGAAATCATCTCTTTTGTCGTAAAGTTTTGTTTTCAACCGACCCTCATTGTCAATTTCTAGATGTAAGTCAAGATATGAGGCAGACTTAACTGTATCTGTAGTATCCTTTATCTCTAGTTCAATGGGATAGCTTTGTTCAACATAGTCACCAAATTTTGTATTATTTAGTGAGAGAACATAAAACAACTCATTTGGATTTGAACAAATCTCTAGAATACATATGAAATAAATTGTTTTGCAATAATCTTTTATTATTAAATTCAATATCATGTACAAAACATTTGTTCCAGATATATGTTGTATCATAATAAAGACTGCAACATACATGTATCTTCAAAAACATAGATATCTGACAATAGACACATTCATATATATTCTATTCTCATGTCTCGTAACTGTATTTCTTCCAAGACTTCCTAGTATAATTTAATCAACAGATATAAAAGAAAGATGTTGGGTAAAATTTACACAATATGACTATAGGTTCTCAGACTACACTTTTAAAAAAAATCAATTCAACCTTAAGAAATTATAATCTGAGTTAACAGTTAAAAAAATTAATTCAACCTTAAGAAATTATAATCTGAGTTAACAGTTTTGGTTTTGAACTATGAAAAAAATGTTTCATTAATTCAAATAGATCCACTATAAACACAATATTTGGTCCTTAATTTCTTCAAAAATGAAATCTGTATCAACTTAAAAAGAAAACAAAATAGAAATTGTACGAAGACTTAAAACATAGTATTTGTTTTATGCTCTTCTTTGAAGCAACATAATTTCCATTATAATATCCCTTATACATATATGTTTTATCACTTCAACTGATAACAATATAAATAGACAATGTAAATTAACAATTTGTCATGATTAGTACAATGTAAAATTTAGTTACATATTTGTTAAATAAATAAAAATCTTTACTGATGGCACTACTAAGTTTAAAGCTATTTTTAAACAACCAACAACCATTTATTTTGTAAACAGTAAGAACCCGATGTGCTCAATTAACAGGGCCATGATTAAATAAATATACGTTTCTTATTTCACTAAATATAGATTTTAGAAAGTTAGGATTTTTAAACGGGATACCAAAATATCTAGCATATAAACTATCAACAAGGTACATTAAAAAGACATAAATACATTCCTTTATAGGGTGGATCTTTGAAACAGGAAACGAACAAAATTCTAAGTCTGGCCTTATTAGTTTTCTTTACAACTGCACACATACATAGAATAAATTATGATTGTAAAAATGATATTAACTTTCTTATAAGTCTAACAATATATTCCATGTATTCATAATTACATTCTGTGAATAACTTATAAAGCTGACTTTCATCTAGATATATGTTATACTTCAATCAAACAAATATGTCCCTGTAAATATCATTTGATTGTTAATTGTTTTTGGTTACTCATTGAGGAATGGCAATTTATTGTGAAGTCCAAATACCTGAAAATAAAACAAATTTTTATTGAGATCATTTGAAATTAAATGTTTGTCATATACATTTCAATAGATGTTCAACATACCCAATTCAACAAATCAAATCAAAGATATTTAATTAGATACATCTATTTAACCATTAACACATGTAATATGAAAACACATTCAGTGCCTATTTCAGCAGCTATTTCAAAAACATGGTTGGCTATTTCTCCAAAAAACAAGACATGCAAAAACTCCTCACCACAACCAAATGTTGTAAGCAGACACTTAAATAGTGAAATACAATGTTAAATATATAGCTAATCATTTTGTCCAAAAAATCGGACTTCAACAATTAGCAAAACCCATACCATATAGAAAGCTATAAAAGGCCCAGAAACGACAAGTGTAAAACAATTCAAGCAAGAAAACTGAAGGCCTGATGTATGTACAAAACAAAAACCAAAAAAAAAAAATGATATACAGCAACAATTAATAAAATGCTTCGCTGGGGTGCAGCTTGATACGACCGCAGAGGTCGAACCCTGAACAGTTGGGGCAAGTATGGACACAACATTCAAGCTTGATACAGCTCTGAATTTGGATTGTTATTAAATATTTGACACAGCATAGGTTTCTGACACAGAAAGAATGTGGTCTAAGAATTTGAATTTTTTTTAATTTACCTATTATGGTTCAATGTCCAAAATCAAAATACATGGTTCAGAGCTCCAGATAAGCTGCGTATTTGCGTGATCACGCAATACAAATAATTAAAAACCCAATGCAATTGCCCATTGCAGGGTTCAAAAACCCAATTCATTCAAAGGAAAACCCAATTATATGCCAAAACCATGAGTTCTTAACGCTTTTATTCGCTATCGTTTGCGTTATTTACCCTTATCTGATTACAGTTGTCGCGTAAATCTATTGTTATAATATTTATAATTGGAAATGTCCTTTCGTTCTTAAAACTAATTATTTTAGAGCCCTGCATCAAGTAGCCGAAATGGGTCCCTGTTGGAATTTTCCATTGCTCAAAAGGTACACGTGTTTATGAAAACATTTCGATCTTCTCTGCGTTTATCCAATTAGCGTTTGTCTTCTTGTCATATTTTTTCGAATTGCTCGGAATTTATCATAACATACAATGAATTAAAACGAAAGTAAATATCCGATAAAAATATTGAATAGAAGCATGTTTTCAGCTTCTTTTTGATACTTTAGGGAAAGTTATTATGATGATAACAAGACCCGTTTGCGTATACCTTAACGAGAACATTGCTAGAACGATAAACACAGGGTTTTGTCAAGAACGAAATCAGTTGGAAAAAGTGAAAGGCCAAATCAATTATGACATGATATATGTAGTTGGAAAGCATCAGAAACCAAAAGTTCTAATCAGCTGGGACAACTTAACCCAGATTTATGTAAATTAAATTAAACAAAAACATTCAAGTATAATTTAAGTTTATATATTATTTTTTTCATTTTAGTTGATGAGGGAATACACATATTCGCTTTTTACGTCAATGCATCTTGACACTTTCTTTGTTTTGGTCTTATTGGCAAGTGCAGTTTCACATTGTCATTTATTTATTTGATGTTGCAGAATTATTTGTAAATTTAACTCTGTAAATTTAAGTTGAATGTGGTCTCCGTCATTAAACCTATAAACCTGGTCAAGGTTTTGGGGTATATCTTAAATCTGGGAACTACTTATTATTTTTATTAAAAAGTAGATCTGGCAAATAGGTGAAAGGACTGGCAAAACTTTCTTACAGCACCTAAATTTCACATATATTACATAAAAATCTAAACACTTAGCCACGCCTACCCCAACTAAACTGTAGGGTGATCATATGGGATCTAGAAAGGTAATTAGTAACTATCCAACTTGTGACACCAGCTGCAGTTTATATAAGTTGTGAGAAAATACAAAACTGGCAGAACATTTAAAATCGGACACAAATTAAACGTACAATTGCTCATCAGTGAATAAACCAATTAAAACAGCTAGCAATTATATACAAAGAAAGAAACACATTCAAGATGGAAAAACATCTGCATGGGGTTGATATAATGTGATTATAACATGCCTACACATTCAATATTGTGTTGATGAAAAAACCCAATACATTAAGGAGCTTGGTGGTGATAAACCCAATTTGATATTTGCTTGAGGGGTGAATTGGAATTGATAATGCAATTTAAAAACTTTATCACCCAATTACATAAAAAAAAATGGTGGGTAAAAACCCCAATTTGTGAATTCTTATCTGGAGCTCTGCATGGTTAGATTCAGCATTCCAAAGAACCCCATATTTTCAATTTTTGTTAAAATCAAACAAAGTTTAATTTTGGACCCCAACTTGGACAAACTTGAAAACTGGGCCCATAATCAAAAATCTAAACACATGTTTAGATTCAGCATATCAAAGAACCCCAAGAATTCAATTTTTGCTAAAATCAAACTAAGTTTAATTTTGGACCCTTTGGACCTTAATGTAGACCAATTTAAATAACAGGACTTAAAATTAGAAATCTATATACACGGTTAGATTTGGAATATCAAAGAACCCCAATAATTCAATTTTCGATGAAATCAAACAAAGTTTAATTTTGGACCCTTTTGACCTCAATATGAACCAATTTGATAGCGGGGCCCACAAATAAAAAATCTAAATTCATGGTTAGATTCAGCATATCAAAGAACCCCATATATTCAATTTTTGTTGAAATCAAACAAAGTTTAATTTTGGACCCCAACTTGGACCAACTTGAAAACTGGGCCCATAATCAAAAATCTAAACACATGTTTAGATTCAGCATATCAATGAACCCCAAGAATTCAATTTTTGTTAAAATCAAACTAAGTTTAATTTCGGACCCTTTGGACCTCAATGAAGACCAATTTAAAAAACGGGACCCAAATTAAAAATCTAAAAACACGGTTAGATTTGGCATATCATAGAACCCCAATAATTCAATTTCTGATGAAATCAAACAAAGTTTAATTTTGGACCCTTTTGACCTCAATATGAACCAATTTATAAGCGGGGCCTACAAATAAAAAATCTAAATACATGGTTAGATTCAGCATATCAATGAACCTCATATATTCAATTTTTGTTGAAATCAAACAAAGTTTAATTTTGGACCCCAATTTGGACCAACTTGAAAACTGGGCCAAAAATCAAAAATCTAAATACATGTTTAGATTCAGCATATCAAAGAACCCCATATATTCAATTTTTGTTGAAATCAAACAAAGTTTAAATACTGGACCCTATCTTGGACCAACTTGAAAACTGGGCCCATAATCAAAAATCTAAACACATGTTTAGATTCAGCATATCAAAGAACCCCAAGAATTCAATTTTTGTTAAAATCAAACTAAGTTTAATTTTGGACCCTTTGGACCCTTTGGACCTTAATGTAGACCAATTTAAAAAACAGGAACCAAAATTAAAAATCTAAATACACGGTTAGATTTGGAATATCAAAGAACCCCAATAATTCAATTTCTGATGAAATCAAACAAAGTTTTATTTTGGACCCTTTTGACCTCAATATGAACCAATTTGATAACGGGGTCCACAAATAAAAAATCTAATTACATGGTTAGATTCAGCATATCAAAGAACCCCATATATTCAATTTTTGTTGAAATCAAACAAAGTTTAATTTTGGACCCCAATTTGGACCAACTTGAAAACTGGGCCAAAAATCAAAAATCTAAATACATGTTTAGATTCAGCATATCAAAGAACCTCAAATATTAAATTTTTGGTAAAATCAAACAAAGTTTAATTTTGGACCCTTTGGACCTTCATATGGATTTTTTTGTAAAAAAAAAAGATGCAACATTTGCAGATATTTTTACTGGTCTTCCTTTATAAATATGCATTTCTTTACACATAATTTAAAAGCAGTGTAAGGGAAGTAACCAAAACGTTGTATTTGGATTACCTCCCTTACACTGTTTTAAATTATCTTTATTGTTCATTAACCATTACTTTATACATAATTTAAAAGCAGTGTAAGGGAGATAATTTCAATGATGTATTTGGTTTATCTCCCTTACACTGCTTTAAATTATGTTTTGTACTAAAGTATTTGTCCATTAACCAGGACAACCATGTTTTTCCCCCTTTTTTGCCCCTAATTCCTAAACGGTTTGAGCCATAACCCCCCAAAGCAAATCCTAACCATCCCTTTGGTGTATGGAAACTTGTAGTATAATTTCAGAGAGATCCATACACTGTTCCACAGTTATTGTCTGGAAACTAGAAAATGCTTATTTTTGGGCCCTTTTTGGCCCCTAATTCCTCAACTGTTGGCACCATAACCCCCAAAATCAATCCCAACCTTCCTTTTGTGGTATTTAACCTTATGGTCAAATTTCAAAAAGATCCCTTCACTTAAACTAAAGTTAGAGTGCGAAAACCAATGTGTCTTCGGTCGACGACGACGCCGGACGACGACGACGACGCCAACGTCATACCAATATACGACCACAAAATTTTTTTGCGGTGTATAAAAACCACTGAATTACAGACTCCTGACTTGGGGCAGACAGAATGTGGGGGGTCAAACATGTTTGCAGGTGTTATCTGTTGTTTTTATTTACCTGTCAAAATGAGTTATGATCAATCAAAACATTGTCATGCTCTGAAAAATATTTACTTTGATTCCAAGCATATAACTTTTAAATGCCCTCAAATAAGTAAATGATTAGTTTTATACCCAATCAGGAAAACCGAAAAATCATAATCTTAATTCTACATCACCTTATGGACATTTACGAATGTCACCTATGGAGAACAAAGCTTTGTTTACAACAAGGCTACAACCTAATATCTAACCTACTGAGACTAAAGCTATAGTTACATTAAGGTTACAATCTAATGTCTTAACCTACTGAGACTAAAGCCATAGTTACACCAAATCTACAATCTAATATTTAACCTACATACTGAGACTAAAGCTATAGTTACATCAAGGCTACAATCAAATGTCTCAACCTACTGAGACTAAAGCTATAGTTACACCAACGCTACAATCTAATATTTAACTTACTGAGACTAAAGCTATGGTTACACCAAGTCAACAACCTAATAGATATAAGAAGATGTGGTATGAGTGCCAATGAGACAACTCTCCATTCAAGTCAAAATTTATAAAAGTAAACCGTTATAGGTCAAAGTACGGTCTTCAACACGGTGCCTTGGCTCACACCGAACTAATGTATACCTAATGAGACTTAAGCTATAGTTACAACTGTTACACCCAAGTCTCCAACCTAATGTCTTACGTAGGGAGATAAAAGCTGCATTTACACCAATGCTACAACTTATTAACATTAATGATACTGGATTTAAATATCCCGTTTTAATCCTGAAATTTGATTGGTTATCTCGAAAGAGGATATGAGCCCATATCCCCTATGATAAAAATGCAAAACAAATAAGATAAGAATGATAATTAATGTTGAAATCAGGGTACTCCAGTATAATGTATTGTTATTCTGGCTTCACAAGGGATATGGGCTCAGTGGATATAAAACGCTGACAGGGAATATAAGCCCATGTCCCTTGTCAAGATCACGAAAATCAGGGGTCGCCTCGATATTCCGACACCCCATTAGTCCGACACACCATTGGTCCGACATCCCATTAGTCCAACGCCCCATTAGTCCGACACCCCAATAGTCCGACAAAGGGTAACTACTTCCACAATAGAAAATCTACTTCATAGAATCATTGTTGACGTGGTATTTGAACTACACTTCTAAGACCACATTCACACTAGCTTTTTATAAATCGATCTAAAGTATATCACAGAAACAGATAATACCAAACCACCCATCTGGTATTAAAGAAATACCATGACCATATGCATATAAAGCAATCGAGAACCTTGCAAGTTTTGGTTAACTAATACAACATCAATATAAAAAGAAGATGTGGTATGATTGCCAATGAGACAACTCTCCACAAGAGACCAAATGACACAGAAATTAACAACTATAGGTCACCGTACGGCCTTCAACAATGAGCAAAGCCTATACCGCATAGTCAGCTATATGACAAATGTAAAACAATTCAAACGAGAAAACTTACGGCCTAATTTATGTACAAAATAATGAACGAAAAACAAACTACAACATAATGTCTAACTTACTTAGATTTATGCTGTGGTTACACTTACACCTAGGGTTAATTCTAATGTCAAAACAGCTCTAGTATTTAAGGATGTTTGCCCACGTAATTTTCAACTTTTCCATTTTTTATAGCCCTTCTGGTTTTTCCCTAGGGAATGCATTAAAAAGTGTTACCCAGTGACCCCTATATTTAGTGTGTGCTTTAAAAGTATACATAGCACATGCACTTTTGACAAAATTATTAATTGAACAGGCTTTTACAGTCCCTGTAACGTAAAAGTTAACACTTTTTTCGTTCGGGAATCGTACGTACAGCGTTCGGGAATCGTTCGTATAGCGTTCGGTCATCGTTCGTACATCATTCGTATAGCGTTCGTACAACGTTCGGTCAGCGTACGTTCATCGTTCGTTCATCGTATGGTAAATGCCATCGTTTAGGGTTTTGTATATCGTGTGGTTCATGGTATCGTAAAGCGTTTTATTTGTCGTATGTAACATGGTATGGTTTAGCGTTTAACGTTTCGTTTATCGTATGGTTTAGCGTTTCGTTTATCGTATGGTTTAGCGTTTCATCTATCGTATGGTATATCGTTTTTAGGGTTTTATTTCAGAAAATTATTTCGTTTATTATTTTGAGTTGAAATAATTTAATAAAAAAAAAATGCGAGATAAAAAAAATACAAGATTGGATTGATTAATAGTTGGTTGCGTACTTGTACATCGGAAGTAACAACCAAACGGATATCCCACTTTGGGAATTTTTTTTTTACTGTCAGCCGAAAGACGACCTGTAGTGACTATATTTCTATCACCTTGTCACCCTTTGTACTATATTAGATTGGAAAGATTGGATTGGAAACATTTCACTTGTTAATTAAACAAGTTATATTAATTAGTATATTTTTTATTTAATACTAATTGCGTAATTAATAACATTTCAAATTTGATCTTATAAAATGTTTAAAAAAAAACTAACCTAAACAATACCCTTAACTAGTTCAATGGAACGTGAATTATCTTTATAGCTTTATAGCAAAGGCTCCGTGTTGAAGGCCGTACCTTGACCTATAATGGTTTACTTTTATAAATTGTTATTTGGATGGAGAGTTGTCTCATTGTCACTCATACAACAGCTTCCTATATCTATCTATTTTACATAAAACTTATGTAGTCGTAAAAAATAGTATTGGTTGTAACGTTTTATCTTGATTGAGAAACGTTTAGCAATGCAATAAACTTACTTTAAATGTATTATAACTTAATGTAGATTTCGAACAGTATACCATTTCTTACCGATAGAAAAAAAAATTGCAACTAATATCATTACACTATGGAATAGCCTGCTGTATAAAACGAAGGGGAAACATTTCCTTCAATCAGATTTTGACAGTAGAACATTTGTTGTAACATGAGACAAATACGGCGAAATATATTAGTCTCTCTCTCTCCTCCTCTTCCACCAAATATTTCTTTAATCCAAATATTTCCTTGACACTATAAACTATGTATAACTTTCTATAAATGAGGCTTTATATGAGATACACGTACTATATCTAAATGTATTAAAAAAAGACAAGTTATCAATGGTATTTGTTCCCCTCAATGTCAGAGTCTAATTTAAATCGAAGATTGCCAGGGATATATAAAAAAAATCGTGAAGACTTCTTTTAAAACCAGCGTCGCTTGAAATTGCTGCTGTTGGTGTTAAAACTGTTATTTTGACTGTACAAAGTGTTTAAGTCCATTTATGAGTAAAATACAGAATGAAAAAAATAACTTTACCTTTTTTTCATACATTTATTTATTTTAGAGGTAAGCTTCTGTCCAAGTTTCATAAGTTTTAACGCAAATCATTTAGATCGAATCACCTTAAATAACCAATCAATTGTATATTAAAAGTTATTGATTAGTTCTTTACATACGAATCAATGAAATATTTGTCACTGGACGTTATGCATGCAATCAATGATCAATTACAAATCTACAGTATTTATAAACATACTGCAATTGTATATATGAAAGAGACTAAATAATATAAATATTAATTCTTTCACACATATTTGAAGGATCGAAACAATCAGTTCTACAACTGGTTGTTATTTAAAGACTTAATGCAAATTTTACAAATATTACATGCCTCTGTGAACTCTCACATTGGCGCACCAAACTATTTCCTTTTATCGTGCATAGCTCATTTTCCGATTCACTTAATGTTTTTACCGATCTTCTTAATTGTTTATTACATTCTGAAATTAAAATCCTATACAAATTGCCAAAACTTTTATTCTCAGTCTAGACAGCGTAAAAGATGAATGCACCTTTGTACAAACGGTGTTTTGAAGACCGATATCCATTTGCGCTGAAAAAAATTAATTTGCCACAACTTAATTACGCTAATTCTTCTTTTGCAGCATTCATTTGCGCCAAAAAATGTAAAATGTAGAAATACCGCAAAGGACCGATTAGTGCACGAAGAACAAAGTTTTGCACTTATTTTGAAATCAATGATAGTATTGACTCAAAGAACATGGCATATAGAAGGAGACTTTCTAAAAGTACATAATTTCAAATTTGAAAATCATATCTTTAGTAATTATAAATTGATTTAATGTTTTATCGACACGCACCACCCTCCGTTGATTGTCACTTGTGTAATCGATAGAAATTCGTTTTTGTTCAACCTTGACCCGTTTTGGATCCGCTTGTATACTGATTAAACATATTTATGGTATTTCAATTTTTTCTGATCTTTTTCGTTTGTTTATTACTGCCGTATTTATTTTGTTTTTCTGTCTGTTATATTTCTTAGTTCTATGTAATAGTGTATTTTCTACTATTTTTTTTATTTGTGTTCCTTTTCTTTTGCTTGTTTGTTAAGCTTACTCTTTTATAGTTCTCTAGTATTTTTTTATAAAAATATTTTAGAATGTATATATATATTCTTATTTACCAGCACATAAGATACACATGTTCAAAGTATAACAGTTTATTACATTTTTGTCGAGCCTGCGACTTTTGTCGCAAAAGTGAGACATAGCTATCCTACATTCCGTCATCGGCGTCACCGTCGGCTAGCGACATCCACAAATATTCACTGTAAAATTAAAGTTTTTGATATTTTAATTACTTTCGTAAACTATCCTGGATTTCTACCAAACTTGGACAGAAGCTTGTTTATGATCATAAGATAGTATCCAGGAGGAAATTTTGTAAAAAAAAATCATGTTTATCCGTATTTTACTTATAAATGGGCTTAGTTTTTTCTGTCAGTTAACATTACATTCAGGGTACGTCTAAACACCGCTCAGGACCTCCTGAGTGCACTCAGGACATACAATGTGCACTCAGGACCCTTTATAGTCATCGTATTTGCACACAGGATGGATGAATATATTCGTTACACGCTGCTTATTCAAGAGTTAAATTTTGGTAGAATTTGAAATCGATCTTAGATAGATATGTTAATTCTTATGAAATAATGAGGGCACGTGTCACTGATTACACAACTACTGAGCCGTGAATTATCCAATCAACAAAATTGATTGGATTATCTTTATTGTTGCTTATGCATTGTGTTGTTAGTACTGTGTTACGTTTAAAATGAATAACACGATGTTATTAAGTTTTGTGAAAGTTGCAGTGTAGAGACTGAAAAACATTTTCTTATGGAATGCACACTTTATGACGATATTTGATATAACCTTTTTCATGAATGTTCAAAATTTATTCAAGATTTTCACAGCCTTGATATAGATAACAAATTTATTGAAACTATGAACTGGTCCTATATTTTCAATGACAGTATATAGAATTTAAAATTAATAAGACAGATCAGTGTTTATTCATATGATTTGCTAAGTCTAATATCTTGGCTGCGTACGTGCTGTCCTTGGTCTTTTCCTTTGGTTTGGCTTACGATCACGCTTCTGGGGTTTTCGCACTTCAAACTCT